AGGATACTGTCAAATGTAGCACTGACATTTCAGGATACCTCACCCTGTGCAGCCCTGACAATTCAGGGCAAATTCTGATTTCCTAAAAACTGCCCTGAGGCCTCAGTGTACCCCCAAACGAATCTGAGGGCCTGACGTCAGTCTACTTCGCCCCTACGTACCATCCACAAGCCAACTGCCCCGCAACCGCCCAGCCAGCATGACACGACCACCGACCGAGCCAATCATCACGCCCGAGAAGATTCTGAGCCACGAGGAGCCCGAAGGATCGAATTCCTGATCCGCTGGAAAGACCGTACACCCACCGAAGACAACTGGGTTCCCCTGGATAGAATCGAAAACCACCCCGTCCTCACCGAGTACCTGCGTAGCCGAAATTTCCGGGATGTACACGCGCTTTCGTAAGGAGGGCCTCCTTAGGGGGGGGGGGGGGGGGGGGGGGGGTAGTGTAAAGAAAAATCATTTTCCTTACTTCGCGTCCCTGCTCAGCGCGTACACCACTGTTCCCGCCAACAGCACCCAACAGTAAAACCGTTACCACTCGCGATATTCGCCTCGACACTATTCCCGCCGCTGTTCACGACGGTTCGGTTGGTAACCCGCGGTCCGGACCTCCGCCTCGGCATTTCCCAACCTCGGCGCCAGGCCCGTCGCGCACCCTATTGTCACGCATTACCGTTACCAATGTAGTTTCGCTATATATTCTTCGCTCATGCCTTCGCTCATTGTACTCTTGCTTCGATAGTGCAATTCTCGCTCAATCACTCAATTGCCCTTGTAACAGAAAGGAATTTTCCATACTTTGTACTCGTTTGACACTCTATTGCAATTCTTGCAACTTTGATTCAATTGCACCGGTAACAGTTGGACACGAATTCTGGAATTACGAAGTATTTCTTCATGAACCCCACGACACCAGCCGCGATCATAACCCCCACCCCCTCCTAGGCATTCCACAAGGTGATTAGGGCGCCGTCAGGTTATACATTTCTCATGGGTTTACAGTTCTTGTTCCGTGGTTCAGGACGGTCTAAAACGGTGAAAAACGGTTCTCGACGTTTACCGCTCTGCACCGTGTTGAAACGAAGTTAACCGCAGTAGGCGTACAAAAAGTTGCACCGTGTTGAAACGAAGTTATTCGCGTGTCGTCTTCGCCGTGTCTGCGCGTGTCGTCTTCGCACGCCGCTAACCTTTCTCACACCCTATTTCCCGTGTAGGATTCCGCATAGTAGCGATCGTCTGTTGGCGTTCAAGAATTTCGCGTCATCGTTGCCGATTGACCCGTCGAGCGCTCGTCGCCTCGTCCGTCGCCGCCATGCAGAAGGCATCGCGGCCGGGCGACGCGGTCATGTCGAGCATGGAGCGAGTGGTGCGTGGCCGCGGAGTACCTAGTAGGCCCGCATACCTGATCTTCCTAATGTTCTTACACTTTAGCAGTTGTCCCTACTGTCGCCCTTGCCTGGACCTAATATTCCGGATTCCGCCATGCTGACGTCATTGTCCCCGTCCCCCTTGCCATGCGCAATCATGTCGACGCCACGCCATACGCCGCCATAACCGCAAATTTTCACACCTTGTCGATCTGCACTGCCACGTGTCGTCTCCGTGGCCCGTCAGAACGCGGAGCTGTTCACGCTGACGTACGGCGCCATGGTGCGACAGCTGCTGACGGACCTCGAGGATATCGAGGAGGTCAACAAGCAGCTCGACGCCATGTCAGTCGTGTGCTGTGCGCCGCTGTGCACTGGAGGGGGGGGGTCCGCTAAGATGCTGGGCGTTGCTGGTCGTGCTGTGCCGTGGTGAAGGCCATGACGCCCGTGCGGTGCTATGTTTTGTTTTCTGGAAGCCCCACGTGCGAGCTGATTAGGGTTTGGCTACTCTGCTTTCTCTCATCGCGTCATTTGTGTGGCTGCATGCTCTGTGAATCTGTAAATTCATCTCATTCTACGTGTGTGCCGCTGGTTACCACGTGTCCTGCAGGGGCTACAACATCGGTGTGCGGCTGATAGACGAGTTCCTGTCCAAGGCCAACGTCACTCGCTGCTCCGACTTCAAGGAGACCGCTGACATCATCGCTAAGGTGAGGCATCATCGCCAAGGTGAGGCATCATCGCCAAGGTGAGACATCATCGCCAAGGTGAGACATCATCGCCAAGGTGAGACATCATCGCCAAGGTGAGACATCATCGCCAAGGTGAGACATCATCGCCAAGGTGAGACATCATCGCCAAGGTGAGACATCATCGCCAAGGTGAGACATCATCGCCAAGGTGAGACATCATCGCCAAGGTGAGACATCATCGCCAAGGTGAGACATCATCGCCAAGGTGAGACATCATCGCCAAGGTGAGACATCATCGCCAAGGTGAGGCATCATCGCCAGGGTGAGGCATCATCGCCAAGGTGAGGCATCATCGCCAAGGTGAGACATCATCCCAAGGTGAGACATCATCGCCAAGGTGAGACATCATCGCCAAGGTGAGACATCATCGCCAAGGTGAGACATCATCGCCAAGGTGAGACATCATCGCCAAGGTGAGGCATCATCGCCAAGGTGAGACATCATCTGTGCCAAGGTTGGATGTTTCATGTCAAGGTCAGTTAAATTCCCTCCATGCTGTCGTTTTCATCATCTGCCGACTCCGTCCCTTGCCCTGCCCCCATCGCCCTCCCTCCTTTCACCATGCGCCTCTCTACCCTCTCCCTGCCATTGCCAATCCTTTATCTCCTCCCCAAACCCAACACTCTCACAGCTGGGCTGCAAGCTGTTTTTGGGCGTGACAGCAACGGTAACCAACTGGAACGTGGAAGCCAGTGAGTCCATTCTCGTACTAACTCTATCCCTCCCTCCTCCCTCCCCCAACCCCCTTCTTCCACCTTCTCCAGCTGGGCTTCAAGATGTTTCTGGGCGTGACAGCAACAGTAACGAACTGGAATGCGGAGGGTAACGAGTGCAGTCTGTTGTTGGATGACAACCCTTTGGTCGACTTTGTGGAGCTGCCCGAGTCCTGCTCCTCGCTCGTCTACTGCAACCTGCTGTGTGGTGTCATCAGGGGTGCGCTGGAGCAGGTATGCAGATGCGGAGCGGGTATGGATGTGGAACATGTGTGGTATGGGACTGTAGGCTAATCGTGCAGCCTGCTGTTGGACGACTCCCCCCTTTTAACTGTGTGGAGCTGCCTGAGTCCTGCTCCTGACTTGGGTACCGCAACCTGCTCTGTGGTGTCATTAGAGGGGCGCTGGAACACATTCACATGCGTCATACCCTACACCTGACGCATGTGAATGCATTTGGAGCAGGTATGAATGCGTGTAACAGGTGTGGTGTGGCTGTAGGGCAGTTGTGCAGTCTCTGTGCAGTCCTTTCATGCCACCTCCATTGTGGGGCGCAGGTGTCGCTGCGGGTGGAGGTGAAGTTTGTGCGTGATATGCTGCGGGGAGACGATGCGTTTGAGATGCGCGTGAAGCTCATCGAGCAGATGGCTGAGGTGTACCCTTTCAAGGACGCTGACTAGCACCGCACTGCACCACACCGGGAGGTCTACAGTGTTGGACCACAACACTCTCTTCATCAGTACCACTATATCCTGCATGTGGCTGGCATGCGATCATTCTCCAGTACCGTATGTAAAATATTCAAGTGTCATCGCCCGGATAGTAAACATATCGGTAAATGAAGTAGCATATAGCCTAGCATACATTTGACACTTCATTGTACCTATAAGCAGTTCTCATTAAGTCTAGTCCCTTAAGGTATTCATTGTTTGGCAAGTCTTCAGTGAGTCGTACGGTAGCTGGGAGCAGGCCCTCAGATTCGTTTTGGGCCATACTTTCTCATCAGTGTTGGTAAAAAAAAAAAAACTTTCTCTCAGGGTCGTTACAAAAATAAACCCGGAAAAATCAGTGTTGTCACATAAAATAAAACTTTCTTATCAGTGCTGGTACATTTTTTAACGCTGATGTAACTGTTGGAATTAAAGTTAATTCGGGTTGCTCCAATAAACATATGTAGTGTTACATCTACACTATAGTAGTGTAGAATACATTGGTTGGGTTGGGAGAACTTGTGGTGTGCTTTGGAGTGGACCACCTCCCAAACCCTACAGGTTAGGGTTCTCTCTTATTGGAACTTCACTTCTTGGAAACCACTTTGGTTCTAGCATGGTTCATGCCTTAGTGGGCTCCTAAGATTCTTAGGCTTCAGGAGGAGGTTCTAAGACTACTAATGCTTCCGCTAGTAGCTTAGTCCATTCTAATATGGTATCAGAGCTAGGAAGGCCTAGCAATATGTTGAAATAGGAGCTATTCAAGGAATTGGACCATAATACCTTGGTGGAAGCTAAATTGCTTCCATCCCTCCCGAAGGGCTGCCGAAATTGCACCGTGGCGGACTCTGGACGTGGGAGAGGAGGAGGAGAGAAGAAACCCGCTGGAAATCGTGTGGATCTGTTTGGAGGACGAGAGGAGCGACATCCATTCACGGACAAGCTCAGTCAACGTTGGCCGATCAAGGCGTGCAGCATATCGTTGGAAAGCCCTCGACACGATCTACAACTGTTGCCTCGGAGTCATTGCAAATCGATGAGCGGATCGGACGCAATTCGCGAAATACAATCGGCGGACGAATTGGAAAATCGCGAATCGGGGAAGATTTAAAGCGCGGAAATGGGATTGGAGGGCGGACGCCAAGAGAGGAGGCTAGGGCGCATCCAGCAAGCCAAAAATCGGGAGAAACGGTCGAGTATTTGTCGACGGAAAATCGGCCAATTTCGACGAGTTTAAGCGGACAGCTCGGACGCGGGATCCAGAAGCGCGATACACCATTGGAACGGTCTCAGAGCGAGGATTCGTCTGAGTCAAACGGCTCATCATTCGGAGGTTTGAGCGCGGAGTTACGCTCCAAAAACCAAGAGGGGGCAAATCTGTCCACATCGTCTTCACCGCTGCCGCCGTTGCCTCCACCACCACCTCAACGTCAATCTCCAGTGCGTCTGCCGCAAATGGATCATGACTCAGGCGAAGGGAAGCTGGAGAGTGCGCCAAAATTCGACGGGAGCGACTATTGGACTTGGAGCTTCCGATTCGAACAATGGGCAGAGGCGCACGATCTATGGGGGTACTTTGATGGTTCGGGGTACTTTGATAATTCGCGAAATCCAGTCGGCGGACGAATTGGAAAATCGCGAATCGGGGAAGATTTAAAGCGCGGAAAAAAAATTGGAGGGCAGACGCCCTATGGGGGTACTTTGATGGTTCGGAGGAGCGGCCTGCATCGGGTGACGCACGGCTAAAGTGGGAGAGGAGAAATCAAAAGGCATTCCCCCAATTCTGCAATGCCTTGGTGTCAGATGAGCTGATTCGCTTGGTACGGGAGTTCGGCGGCAAGACCGAGTTGGGCAGTGCACCTGTTGATGGCGGAGCAAGAGCGGTCACCCGAGTTCCTGCAGGCACAGCAGCGGCATACACACGAGTGAAGGAGTTCTACCTTCAGCGTGGATTGTGTAACCGGATGGCACTCTCTGAGGAGCTCTCTTCCTTGAAGATGAAAGAAGGGGAGGGGGTGGCTGCATACTGGGCGCGTGCCGAGGACTTGAGGTCCAAGTACTTGGCTGCAGGAGGGAAGGAGGAGGTTGAGGAGTGGATGATGAGAGTATTCAAAAGACTACCTCCTCACTTTGATATGCTGAAGGTGGTACAGAACAACCAATCGTCAGCGCTCACTAAGGATCAGCTCCTTACCTCTTTGAGGAGCGAGGAGATGCGGATTGGTGTCGCACCAAGATCGGATGGTGTAGCCACTTTTGGAGCGGGTACGAAAGTGGGCAGCAGCGGCAGGGGAAACTGGGACAAGGGAGGAAAGCAAGGACTCAGCGGTAGCAGCAGCGGCACCAACTCGGGCAGATGGGGTCAGGGGAAAAGGCAAAGCATGAGTGCTTGATTTCCCTTGGGGGTCCAAGGGCATGGCTCCTAGGGGGTTGTGTAATGGCTGTTGGGATGAGGGACATGCATGGCAGCGATGTTCTCACCGACCTAAAGGAGGAATTCCGGCATTCTTACAGAGGGGGGGGTCGTGGGTCCAACGGCAAGGCACAGGTGGCGGATGAGGAGGAGCAGGATGACAAGGCAGAGGTAGCGGTTGGAGAGGCAGTTGCAGCAGTAGGAGGGGAGCAGCCGCGAGAGGGGTGGTGGATTGACAGTGGGGCCAGCCACAACTTTACTCCCTTTGCATCAGACTTCACGAGTAAACTTGAGCCACCAGAGATTCGGGGAGTTAGAGTGGGAGATGGACGGGTGGTGAAAGCTGTTGGCATGGGTGAGGTGCCAGTGGTTGGTGCTGGAGGTCAGCTGCTGAGGATTCAAAAGGTCCACCTTGTACCTGAGATGCACACACGTCTGCTGTCAGTCCCCCACCTCACCTCTCGGGATGTCATCGTCACATTCCAGGGCAAGAGATGTGTTATCAAACGGGGAGAAAGGGTGTTGGCGATTGGAGAAAAGGAGGGGGGAAGGGATCATGGATTGGTGCGGATGTCTCTTCCTCTTGCTCGGGGTACACAGGGCAGTGCTCTTGCAGCTAGATCATCCTCCTCATTTTCTCCATTGAACCTTGCTCACCGCCGCCTTGGTCATACCGCCCCCACGACACTGCAGCAGATGGTTCGGGGGAACAGTGTACTTGGCTTGGAGATTGGGGGAGGGAGCACTGATTGCTCTCCATGTGAGCCTTGCTTATTGGGAAAGTCGGCTCGAAAGCCGTTTCCCCATGAGGCGTCTCGGGCACTTGGGCCTTTGGATGAGGTTCACATGGACTTGTGGGGGCCAGTGCGCACACCGTCACTGGGAGGAGCGGTGTATATCCTCAGCCTCATTGACGACTTCACCAGACGAGTTTGGTCGTTCCCACTCCCCGACAAGGAATCAGCCACAGTCGCAAAAGTTCTTCGCCAGAGGCATAAGGACGTGGAGTTGGAGTGTGGGCGGAAGCTGAAGGCTGTTCGCTCAGACAGGGGTGGCGAGTTCTTGGGGGAAGCTGTGAAAGCATGGAAGGCTGAGTTTGGCATCAAAACTCAACTGAGCGTTGCAGATACACCGCAGCAGAATGGGGTGGTGGAGAGGTGGCACAGGACGATGGCAGAGGGGATTCGCACATTGTTGGTCGACAGTGGTCTCCCTGCTCGCTTGTGGGGTGAAGCATTGATGTGGGTCGTGTGGGTTAAGAACAGGGTTACCCACCAATGGAGGCGTGGTCCGGCCAGAAGCCGCATGTGGGCATGGCTCGGATTTGGGGTTGCATGGGAAGTGTCATGTTGCATGGGCATGAGAAGGGTGGCAAGCTTGATGCACGAGCTGTCATGTGTGTCTGTGTTGGGGTGGACATGGAGAGCAAGGGTTGGCGCATGCTGGACCCTTCTCTCATGCGCGTTCGCATTGCTCGAGATGTTGATTTTCTTGAGAATGTGATGTGGAAGGATTGGGACAAGGCAAAGGGATTTGGGGAGCTTCTGCAGGATGCAGCTGAGATTTCCCAACTCCTCCCTCTTCCACTCTCGCCACCCTCGGCAACGGTTGACGACGCTAAGATGCCACCTTCAACACCGCCACCGGCACCGCTGAGTGTGTCGGTGCAGCAGCAGCCCACCCCTCTGCAGCAGCTCAGTGGCCCCTCGGTCATTCAGCGGAGATCCGCTACACAGGCTACTTCCTCTTCCTCCTCCTCTGGTCAGCGCTCTGTCCCTCTCTCTACGGGTGCACCTACGTCACCAGCGACTACCTCCCCACCACCGGTTACGGGTTTGCAGGTGCTTGGTATCCAGTCTGGTACAGGTGATGAGGAGGTAGGGGGGGATGCTGGTGTGGTTGAGGGCATGCTGTGTTTGGCCAGGGAGGTGGAGGGTGTTGCACTAGCAGGTGTGAGCACCGGTGATGTCCCACGCACACTCGCTGAGGCACTGCGTGGCCCTGAGGGCCCTGCGTGGAAGGCAGGCGCTGAGAAGGAGGTGAATGCAATGCGCACTATGGGTGTATGGGATCTAGAGCCGGTCGACTTACCTCCAGGTAAGAAGGCCATTGGGGTCAGGTATGTTTTCCGCGGGAAGACTGACAAGGAGGATAAGGTGGTACAGCACAAGGTTCGCCTTATTGCTAAGGGGTACACTCAGGAGCCCGAGAAGGACTATGATCAGGTATTTGCCCCTGTGGGAAAGCTCACCTCAGGTCGGGTGCTTCTTGCAGAAGCCGCGGTAAAAGGGTGGCATGTACAACAGGAGGATGTTGATCATGCTTACCTCAATGCAGTCCTGCAGGAGGAGGTGTATGTGAGGCAACCAGAAGGATTTGATGATGGTACAGGTAGGGTGTATCACTTGCGCAAAGCTCTCTATGGGCTCAAGCAAGCGCCTCGTGCCTGGAATGAGGAGATTGGTACCACCCTGATTGCAGCAGGGTTTGACCGCAGTGCATGCGATGAGGCTCAGTACATCAGGTTTGTGGATGGAGAGCCCGTGTTTGTATTGGTGTATGTGGATGACCTCTTGCTTGTGTCTCCATGCTTGGAGCTGATTGATCAGGTCAAAGAGGTGCTCGCTCAGAGGTACCAGATGAAGGATCTGGGTGAGGTATCCACGTACCTTGGTGTGGAGGTCCGCAGGTCGGTCAAGGATGGGTGGTTGGAGATTGGCCAGGAGAAGTATGTCCGTGGTCTTCAGGGAAGGTTTGGTGATCTGCTGAAGGAGACACATAGGGTGCACACTCCCATGTCACCCTATGATCTCTCTAAGATCAGGAAATGTACTTGGTCGAGTGAGGAAGGCGCTGTAGCTGATGTCAAGGTGTACCAGAGTCTCATTGGCAGCTTGATGTATGCTGCTGTGACTACCCGTCCTGACATGTCCTTCACAGTCAACACCCTTGCACAGTCCTGCGTGGCACCAAGGCGCATTCACATGCGCGCTGCACTGAGAGCACCAAGGTACTTGGTCGACACAGCTGATCGTGTCATCAGGTATGAACGCCAAGGTGGTGAGCAGGTTGTTGGGTACACCGACTCGGATAGGGGTGGTGAGACTGATGGTAAGAGTCGCTCTGCCTACATCTTTAAGTTGGGAGGAGGAGCTATCAGCTGGTATAGCAAACGGCAAGACAGTGTTGCAACGAGTGTTTCTGAAGCTGAATATAAGGCTCTATCAGAGGGGGCCAAGGAGGCCATTTGGATGAGGAGTTTGTTGGGAGAGATGCATCTGGGCGATGGGGGGGCAATTCCATTGTTCTGTGATAATGAGGCTTCTGTCTCCCTTGCCCACAATCCCGTTCTCCATCAGCGCACCAAGCACATTAAGGTGGCTTGGCACTTTGTACGGGATGCGGTGCACCAACAGGAGGTCGAGGTGCACTCAGTACGCTCCCACCTCCAGGATGCTGACATGCTCACCAAAGCTCTCCCAAGCTTGCAGCTGCATGAGAACCTTGAGCGCATCGGCATGCGAGTGATGGCTGCGAAGGCCAAGGCTTCATTCGCTGGAGGGGTTGTGTTTTGATTTATGGGTGCACTTTAATGCTTATTGGAGCAAGGGGGGGTGTTGGAATTAAGGTTAATTCGAGTTGCTCCAATAAACATATGTAGTGTTACATCTACACTATAGTAGTGTAGAATACATTGGTTGGGTTGGGAGAACTTGTGGTGTACACTCTTTGGAGTGGACCACCTCCCAAACCCTATAGGTTAGGGTTCTCTCTTGTTGGAACTTCACTTCTTGGAAACCACTTTGGTTCTAGAAGGTTCATGCCCAAGTGGGCTCCTAAGATTCTTAGGCTTCAGGAGGAGGTTCTAAGACTATTAAAGCTTCCGCTAGTAGCTTAGTCCACTCTAATAGTAACCAGCCTTCATCATACCAGTAATGTGACGGGAACGGGGGGAGGGAGACAGTGGTGGTGCAGCAATGGTGGTCCAGGTGAGGCAATCGCGTGTGCTAAAGGTCTCTGTTTTGTCACGTTCAAACATACGGTACGAGACAAAATCAGACAAGCGCTCGCAAGCAACAGTCGGGAATGTTCCTCAACAACCTTTCGGGAGCTTTGCGCAGTGCCACGTCACCCCACGCTTTCTGTCTCGCACTTCACCAATCAACAAAGCGTGAAATGAATGGTGTCTGAGGCGAGTCTGACAAGATGTAGATAGGGGGGGTGTAGGAAAGAGCCCTAAGATGCCGTTTCACGTGATTGACGGTGACGTCGAAAATTTTGGGCGATGCCAGATTCATCGAATCTAGGAAATTTCGCTAACAAGGCTGGCTCCACTACTGTATGATTCGAATCAGGGTCCCCCAGCAAAAGTAGGCTGACATTTCAGGCCTGGTACAAGAAAGTTAGCTGAAAAAACGGTGTAGACATAAATAAAAAAACTTTCTCATCAGGGTTGGGACCTAAAAATTCTTAGAGACTAGGCAGGAATGGGATTGACTATCGAGAGGATTGTACAAGGAGGCCCTAAGGGGTTATACCCCACATTATCTACCCCACTACAGCCTACCCACAAATATAACATATGCATATGTTTGACACACCCCCATAGGCAAAGTGGGGGAGAGCAAGAGGTCAAGAAAAGCAAAGCAAGCTCAGGGTGGATCACAACGTCACCACACACACTGAGCACAAGCAAAAGGCCACAGGGCCAGTTCACATGCAGAGGTATATATGCAACAAGAACAGTACAGTGATCTCTACCTAGCAAGAGCAAGCATGCAGATATATATATATAGATCACAGTACAAGCAGAGTCTACAGCAAGTGTGGAAACGTAGGCACAAGGCCCAACAAAGTACAAAAGCGCTGATGGTCACCAGACGGAAGTGTCTTGGTGAATATATCAGCAGTGTTGGCCCGAGTGGCCACGTGAGCAAGACGAAGCTGACCCCGCTGCTGCAACTCTCGAGCCAGGAAGTAACGCAGAGCGATGTGCTTTGTTCTGTGCTCCAGTCTGTGCTCCTCACACAAGGCAATGGCGGCCTTGTTGTCGACGTACAGAACTGGAGGAGAACGAGGCCTCTCTCCCAAGTCGGTCAGCAGGTAGGTGAGCCAGCGTAACTCCTGAGCAGCCATGGCTGTGGCGTAGATCTCAGCCTCACAACTGGAGCTGAGAACTGAAGACGAGCGAGTAGAACGCCAAGAAACAGAACCGCAGCCAAGGCTGAAGGTGTAACCCTGTGACGACCGCTGTGTAGCCTGGTCGTCAACCCAAGAAGCGTCTGAGTGCCCAGTGAGGACAACTGGACTCCGCCCTCCAAGCACGAGCCCCATGCCCGATGTACTGCACAAGTAGCGCAGTACCCTCTTAGCAGCATCCATGTGCACCTTTCGGTGCCGACCAGGAGCCACGTAGCGAGCCAGAAGGCCAAGAGGGTACGCGAGGTCAGGACGAGTGCAGGTCATCAGGTACATGAGGCAGCCAACTAGCTCTGGGTAAGGACCACTCGGCTCTACGGACTCGTCCAAAGGTGGAGCTGAGAGCGAGTGACCTGTAGCCAGAGGAGTGGCCTGTGCCGAGGACCAGGTGAAGCCGAAGCGCTGAAGGACCTGCTGCACCATGTGTGACTGAGTCAGTGTGATGGTGCGGCGTGCTCTGTCCCGGGTGATCTGCAAGCCAAGGTAACTGCGCAGCTCACCCATGTCTGTGCACGTGTGTCTCTTCTGCAGCTCCGACTTCACCAGGGCGAGAGCCTCAGTGTCAGCAGTGGCAAAGACCAAGTCGTCGACGTACACGAGGAATAGAATGGCGGTAGCGAAGTGTCGGTGCGCAGAAACAGCGACGGGTCAGCAGTCGACGGAGCAAACCCAAGAGCCGCAAGCGTCGTCCTCAGTGTGTCGTGCCACTCACGTGGCGCCAGGCGGAGACCGTAGACCGGCCGCCGGAGGCTCCACTGGGTACCAGGAGGGAATGACCTAGTTAAGCCAGGCGGGCGACGCAGCCAGATCTCGTCGTGCAGGCGGCCCTGTAAGAAAGCTGTGCTGAAGTCAAGAGAGTGAAGCTCGTAGTCATGCTGAGCGGCAACGTGCAGCAGCACCCGAAGAGTAGTCATCTTCGGGGTGGGGGAGAAGGTCTGGAAGAAGTGAACTCCCTCTCGCTGACTGAAGCCTCGAGCAACGTAACGAGCCTTGAAGACAGGCGGAGAAACTGGCGGCCGCTTCACCCTGAAAATCCACATGCCGTCGACGATGCTCGCCCCAGGAGGGGGAACCTCATCGACGTACGTGCCTGTGGACTTCCAGGATGCCATCTCTGCGTCCATGGCTGTCTGCCACTGAGAAGTGTACTCACCCGCGATCGCCTCAGCGTAAGAGCGCGGGGTCGGGATGTCTGGTGCATCCGGGTCTCCCTCAGGGGCAAGCAGCATGGCCACGAGATGAGGAGCAGCGGCCGCAAGACACTCAAGGTCCTCGTGCCTGTCCTCAAGGACGTCCGTGCTAAGAGCACACTCACCCCCGACGGATGGAGGACAGACAGACTCAGACTCAGCAACAAGACTAGCAGCATAGACTAGACGACAGGCAGCAGCAAAGTCGACAAGCTTAGCGACTAGGGCAGACGCGGCAGTGGACTCAAATGACGGGTCAGTGACAACAGTGGCTAACAGACGCGTGACAGTAGGCTGCTCATTACGAAACAGGTCAGACTCAGGGTCCGCAGCGTCAGGCAGAGAGGACGCAGGGGGAGACGGCAGAGGAACACGCTGCGGAGGAGAGGAAGGACGACGGACTACAAGGTGGGTGCCGGGGACAGCCGGCTGACGCGGACGAGGAACACGACGACCGGAACGGACAGACAAGACAGGACGCGACGAGGGCTCACGACGCTCAGCAAGGCCCCCTGTCTGCTCAGTGTAAGGAGAAGGAGCAGGCAGCGGTGAGCCAGGCTGTATCGGAAGACCAGTAGACGAAGGGAGACTGAGAACCTGGCGAAGCGCAGAGTCAGGCGGTGGCTGAGTCGACGGAGACGGCGGAGCAAAGAACAGGCGCGACTGTGCAGTGCCACCAGCACCAGCAGCTCCAGCACCTCTAGCAGCTCCAGAACCCTCAGCGCCTGCTCCTCCAGGACCAGCTCCACCAGCTGCAGCACCCCCAGAACCGGCACCTCCAGTCCCAGGGTCTCCAACCTCAGTGCCTCCAGTAGCAGCACCCCCAGACCCAGAGTCTCCAGCAGTAGCACCCTCAGACATAGCACCTCCAGCCCCAGCAGCTCCAGTACCTCCAGTACGAGCACCTCCGGGACCAGCGACTCCAGCACCTCCAGTAGACAAAGGACCAGCACCACTCCCAGCTCCAGTGACGTCAGCAGAAGTACCTCCAGCAGCAGAGCCCCGAGCTCCAGAAGCGCGACCCTGACGGCGACCGTACCAGTCGTGCAGCTGCTGTGAGGTGAGAGGCACACGCGGACGAAGGCGGCTACTCCAAGGAGACCGCGTAACAGCAGTCTCAGAACCCTTAGGCGTCGCACCCCCAGACTCAGTACCCCCAGGCTCCTCTCCCGCAGGCTCAGCACCCCCAGACGCAGCACCCCCAGGCTCAGGACCTCTAGGCTCCTCACGCGCAGGCTCAGCACCCCCAGACTCCGCACCCCCAGTCTCAGCACCTCCTGGGTCCTCACGCTCAGGCTCCGCACCCCCAGGCTTAGCACCCCCTTGCTCCGCACCCCCAAGCTCCGCACCCCCAAACTCCGCACCCCCAGGGACAGCACCACCCCCAGCAGGACCTGAGTCACAAGTGACCTCAACAGGCGCAGGCACGGGAGGGTCTACCTGAGAGACACCTGAAGGAGCAGGACCTGGCGCAGGGAGGGGGTCTACCTAGGGAGGACCTAGGGCGAGAAAGAGCGGCGGGGGGGGGGGGCGAGGGGCAGTGCGGTAGGGAAAGAGACGGTAAAAGGGAACTGACTCGTCAAAGGTGATGTCCTGAGACGGAAAGACACGGAAGACGCAGGGAATGGCGTGAGGGGAGAGCTTGTCCGTGGTGGTATCGCGGACAAAGGCACGAGCACCCCAGACCCGGAAACGCGACGCATCGCCAACCTTCCCCGTCCACAGCAATGTGGGCGAGGTCTCCGGGAAGGAGACACGGGGCCAGAGGTTGAGTTGATGCGCGGCGTACCGGACCGCAAACGGCCACAGAAAATGGGGGGCAGCCGCATGGATCATGGAGGTACGAGCGACCTCCATGACTAAGCCAATACGGCGCTCTGCAACCCCATTCTGCTGTGGAGAGGCTGGAAGCGTGAACGTCTGGCGGATGCCGTGCTCCGCACAGAAGGCTGCTAGGAGGTCTGAGGAGAACTCACCACCTATGTCAGAGTGCAGACGCAGGACAGGAAAGTCCGACTGGAACCGCTCGCGGAGCTGGAGACGAACAGCGCGGATCCAGGGGATCAAAACATCGGGGACCTCCGCATTGCGCTGCAAGGGGAAGACCGTGGTGTAACGCGTGTAGTCGTCGACGACCAGCAGGAAGTACCGCTCGTGGCCCTGTCCACGGACGCGGGTTGGGCCCCACACGTCCAGGTGGAGAGTCTGCAGGGGAGCCTTTGTGGGAGGGAGCGAGGAGGAGTGAGGAGCGGCGCGCTGCCGCCCCTCGACGCAAGGAATGCAGGGCAGCGGAGGCGAGGGAGGGAGGGCAGGCAGAGACATGGGAAGGCCAGAGACCAGGAAGCGAGAGTGCATGCTACGAAGGCGAGGCAGGGAGGGGTGACCAAGGCGGTGGTGCCACAGGAGAGTGTCGTGCGACAGGCGGCGACACTCACACTGGGTAGCTACCTGAGCAGACGCGTACAGCTGGGGAGACAAAGGGGTGTAGCGCGACGCAGTGGTGAGGGTGTACAGACTGGACCCTGGCGCACGCGTGAACGTGGCCAGGTGACGGCCGGTCCGGGAGCACGTGCAGATCGCCACACGCTGTCCTCCAGGAGTAAAGGTGTCAACCCAGTGATCCTGAAGGACGGCATTGCTCACCAAGTTCGTAGAGAACGAGGGGAGGTGGAGACCAGACAGCTCACCAGACGGGACCGCCGGACAAGGAAGCACAGTGGAAGACCGTGCAAGCACGCCTCCAGATGGGTCAGCCAGTGAGACAGGAACAGGTGCAGGGAGGGGAGTGACTGTGGTGCTGTCGCGAAAGAAACAGCGGGAAGCACCAGAGTCAAGTGTGAAGGTGTGCAAGGCTTGTGCGGACGCAGTACCAGGGGGAGCAGACTCACAAGCACCTAGTGCCACAGGCGCTATACCTGGGGCTATACCGGGGTCAGGCGGCACACACAAGTAGCAGTCACCCTCAGCACTAACAGTCAATGCATACATGGCAGCAAGAATAGCCTCATAGTCAAGATCAAAGATAGGTACATCACGCCTAAGCAGGTCTGCCCAGTTGGGGAACTCAGCAGCATCAGGAAACTTGACGCGCCAGGCGTCGCTAAGCCGAGCGAAGCAGCGGTACTCAGTGTGAAACCCTGTGGGCCACCAGCGTGGGGACCTGCGCGAATGATATAGGGGCAGCGACCAGGTCCCCCAGACGCCCCACGCCCGGCATACCAGTCAAGAAGTTGCTGGGAAGTGGGGGTCTGGCGCTGACGCTGCTGCGGCTGCTGCTGCTGTTGCCCCTGGCCACCACTGGTGTCACCCAAGCCCCCACCACTGCTGCCACCACCACTCCCCCCTCCGCCACCACCGCCGCCGCCACCGCCACCGCTCCCGGCACCACCACCGCCCCCACCACCACCTCCACCCCCACGACCACCCCCACCACCTCCACCTCCCCCGCCGCCTCTTCCACCGCCCCCTCCACTGCCACGTCCGCCACCCCTGCCACCCTTGCCTCCCCTGGAGCCGCTGCTCTTCCCACTAGGAGCGGAAGCAGCTGCGACCTTCTCAGCACCAAGGAGGTCGATAGCAGCAGCTGCGGAGGCGTAGGAGGGGGTAAGAGGGGAGGGGGAGCACCCCTCAGAGGGGAGAGCGAGGAGTACCACGAGCAGCACCTATAGCGAGGATGTTCTTCTCTGCTGCTAGGAGGTGGTTTTCGAAGTCGGTGACAGTGAGAGTGGTAGGGTCTAGGGCTAGGAAGTGGTCCCTGACGGAGCTAAGAGTGTCAGGGAGGCGGGTGACGAGGAAATAAAGAGTGAAGTACATCGGGGGGGGGGGGGGGGGGGGGGGGGGGGGGGGGTTTGCGGCGCAGAACTTGGCTGGAAGGGCGGCATGAAAGCGAGTGTCACTAGTGCGAAGGTGAGAAATGAGGTCCTCAGTAGTGGTAAACGAGGACAGGTCGGGGAACAGGTAGGGTAGCATGAGCCGACCTAGGGCTGCAGTGGCCGGGGAGGAGTAGCGCGCAACTACAGCGTCGTACAGTGCCTTATCAGTTTCGTGTTGGCTGAAATGCGCGCGCTCAGTGATCCGCAGATGGTTCCTAATAGCTAGGCGTGCAGCAGCATCGCGAGTATGCCACTGTGAGCGTTCGAGAGCAGTAGCATCGTCAGCAGGAGCAACGGCAGTGCCAGACACGTAATCGAACAGTGAAACGCCGTCTTTGGCATCGGTCAGAAGAAACAGTTGGAGATCGTCAAGCCACACAGCCAACTCTATCGGGCGACCGTCAGACTCAAACGCGAGAACATTAGCGTCGCCATAATCGCAGCGCAGGTAAAGCCAGTAGGCAAAGGCAGTAGGCAGCAAGCAGCAGGCAAAGGCAAAGGCAGCAGGCAGTAGGCAGCAGGCAAAGGCAGCTCAGGCAGCGCGCGGGGCAGTAGCAGGCCGCGCGTAGGCTGCAACAGCGGGCCGCGCGCGGGCTCCTACAGCGGCGTGCGGTGCAGCAGTGGGCCGCACGCGAGCTCCTAAGGTGGCGCGCGAGGCAGCAGCAGGCCGCGTGCGCTCCTAAGGCAGCTAGCGGAGCAGCAGCGGGCTGCGCAGGCGGCAGACGCGGCGCGCAGGGCAGGGCACGCGCGGCTGCGGGTTGCGCGAGGCGACGGGCTGCGCGCGGCTGCGGGCTGTGCGCGGCTGCGGGCTGCGCACGGCTGCGGGCTGCGTGCAGCGGCTGGCTGCGCGAGGCAGCGGGCTGCGCGGGCTCGTCGCGGGCTGCGCGAGCGGCGCGCGGGGCAGTTGCGGGCCGCGCGCGGGCGACGCGGGCTCGGCGCAGGCTGCGGGCGCGGCGCGCGGCACTGCAGCGGGCTGCGGAGGTGGCTGCAGCAGCAGCGCGCGCTAAAAAAAAAAGAGACGCGCGCGGGCAGCAGGCAAGGCAGGCAGGCAGGCAAGGCCGTAGGTGAGGTAACGCGGTAACAGGTGGGCCCTAAACTTAGGTCCTAAAGACCTACTGCTCTAGATACCATCTTAGAGACCAGGCAGGAATGGGATTGACTATCGAGAGGATTGTACAAGAAGGAGGCCCGAAGGGGTTATACCCCACATTATCTACCCCACTACAGCCTACCCACAAATATAACATATGCATATGTTTGACAAAAATACCATGAAAATCAGGGTTCAAAGGCAAAATCAGGGTAAAATTCCTGCAATCTGAGGGCCTGGCTGGGAGCATTGCTTTGAAATGTCAAGCAACTGTCCTGTATGGCTGTCAACATATTTCCACAGTGGTCTCTGTTTAGTAACTCTACACAGCATTCAGCTTTTTCACAGAGGCGAATAATTCATCTTTCTGAAGCAATTTCTTCTTGCCCTCTTGCAGTTGGAAACTTGCCCTCTTGCAGCAACTTGGAAGCTTCTGTTTGGATGAGCCTCCACGCCGCCTGCACGTGCGTCATCTCCGTCTTGACCGCCCCTATTGCCATGCGCAGCGTGTACTGCCCTGACAGGACCTGCTCGGGGTCATGGGGTCACATAGAGGCACGTCTAGGGTCAAGTGCCCGCAGGCTCTGAGGTGCAAACGAATGAACAAGGCAGGCAACAGCATGATGCGGGAGTCACAGCATGCATGAGGTATTCTTGAAGCGCCTCAAGATTCAGTGTGTTTGTGAGACAGGAATGAGAAGGCACGCAGCAGCGTGCTGAGAGGACTGACAGTGTGTGTGAGGTACGCCTGCCCGCTGCTGTTGATGGCCTCCAGTAGCGCCGTGTTCACCTCCCTCCCTCCGTCCGTGCCCTCCACCCCCTTGTCCAACCCCCCCTCGCCCGCACCTATCCCGCTGTGTGTGAAGGCGGCAGGGGCGGGCGGCTTGAGGCGGAAGCAGATGAGGGCGAAGGGGCGTAGCGCCATCAGCTGGGGAGCAGGGGGGAGAGGCGAGGGGTGGCAGGTAGTAGCATGCTGATATCATTGCAGTGAAAAGGTGGGAGGGAGAGGTACGTGACAGGTGAGAGGGTGTGTGGAGGTGTGTGAGAGGGCGTGTAAGCGGGTGTGCGAGAAGGAGTCTTGAGAGGGTGTGCGAGTGAGAGAATAGCACAGGTGCCGCATGGCGTGCTGCACTCCAGCTCACCTCGAACCTCTCATCTTGCCACACGGCCTCCTCGAACCACTCAGCAAGCGCCACGTGGCGCCTGATGTACGCGCGGATGCCCTCCACTCCATACGTGCGCAGCACCATCCACAGCTTCAGTGACCGGCCCGGGGGATGCCCATGACATGACACGGCCATGGCCATGGCGGTGAGCAGATTGAACGGAGAGGGAGCATGCATAGCAAACCAAACGGAACTAATATGGAACCTGTACTGTATATACAAACGCCCTGCGTGCATGCATGGTGTGCAGAATGCCGGGCAGATGCAAGGAGGGCGGCAAGAGATAGTGTGGTTAACACACCTGAAGCGGCGGCCGATGGGAATCTCCCAGTCCTTGTAGTCCCCCACCTGCTGCCTCTCTGATGCCTGCCGTGTGAGGAACACGGGGGTGGGGCGAAAGCAGTGGGGAAGGGAGTGTGTGTGTGAATGAACATGAGTAATCTGCGATAAGATGTTGATGCGATGATATCACACTGTCACACGGGCATACTGCAAAACTACCGCAGTCCGATAAGAGCACACAAGAGCACACCACAATAAGAGCTCACTGCCAAGCAAAAAGGACCTACTAGCCCACCTTATTCCTGAGATACTCCGGCAGTATAGACAGTTCCTCCACCAGCGACGTGCTGTCCTGTTGGGCCATGGGCATGGGCATGGGCATGGGCATGGATATAGCCGCACAGACATCGAGAGACATGCGGTTTGTGGCGCAGTGCGGTACGTAGTGTGGTGTGGTGTGGTGCGGTGTGATGAGGCTTGGTGTGGTGTGGTGGTCATGCATATAGCAAGCACAAAGAGGATTCTCTTCACCCACAAAGGGGAAGTGCACTCTCCGCAAGCAGCAGCGTTACAATGTCACATAACCTGCCTGCAGGCCACCTTACAGCATCACCTCTCCTCCCACCAGCCCTGCGTGCACCAACCTGGGTCCAGAGGCAGCAGCAGCCGAAGCTGGTGAGCAGCCACTTGTGAGCGTTGGAGGCTAGTGAGTCGGCCAGATGCACGCCTGCCAGGTGGTGGCGCATCTCAGGGCACATGCTCGCCATGCCTGCATACGCCGCATCCACATGCACCCACATGCCATGCTCCTGTGCCCGTGATTGAGGACGGGGGAAGCGAGAGAAGGGGGTGGGGTGGTATATTGTACGTTCTGAGGCCGCTGGGCTTGCACCCACATATGGCATGGAGTGGCATGGCATGGCATGGCATGGCATGGCATGGGATGGCATGGCATAGGATGGCATGGCATGGGATGGCATGGCATGGGATGGCATGGCATGGGATGGCATGGCATGGGATGGCATGGCATGGGATGGCACGGCATAGGATGGCATGGCATAGGATGGCATGGCATAGGATGGCATGGCATAAGATGGCATGGCATAGGATGGCATGGCATAGGATAGCATGGCATAGGATGGCATGGCATAGGATGGCATGGCATGGCACGGCACGGATGGCACGGCAAGAGGCACTTCAAAGCTCACCTTCGCGATGGCAGCCAGAGGGGCGATTGGATCCACAGCAGTGGATGACGTGGAGCCAACCTGGCATGACGTGGCAGAGGAGCAGAGCAGGCACGTGGAAAGGAATGAGCGCACGGCAGTGAGTGCTGGTGCGAGAGGGTCAGTCCGGACCGGACGATGGCGAGGAGGATGAGGCGCCACGCACCGGCGGCATGCAACATGGGGAAACTTACAGCTGGAGGTGACACAGGGACACATAGACAAACAAGCACCACTGAGTTGACATGAGTTTGGAAAAGAACGAGGTACCTTCCGCCTCCAGTGAGAGTGAGAAAGAAGGGAACAACAAGGTGCCCCCCACGTACAGTGAGGACGAGGAAGAAGGGAATGAGGCCAGCAGCCTCATCGCTCTGCACCGCATCCAACAGCTGGCGGGCAGTGAGGGCGTATGCTGATGCAGCCGTGATGGGCAGCACTCGCACGTTGCCCTCGGGCATGCCTGCCACACGGCACGCCTTGAGCGCACATGCATGCGTCTGGTCCGACACGTATGCCACCAGCCGCTGCGCTGCCATGCCCTCCTCACTCGCCCATGGGAACGTGTGAGTAGCCTCGCCCCGCACACCCACACCAGCAGCACAAGCAGCAGCAGCAGAACGATCAGCAGCAGCAGCAGCAGCAGGTGCAGCAGCACCAGCAGCACCAGTAGCCGCCGCAGCAGCAGGGGCAGCAGGCAGCTCCTCACTGCCTGCTCTGCCTGCCGCTGCAGCACTGCCGGGCTGCCCCACCACACGGTCCAGCACTCTCCGCCTGGCAGCCAGCAGCGCCACCAGCAGCGCCTCACTGGCCGTGCCGTGAATCACCCCCCCGCCCCGCCCACCTGCCATGCCACCCACAGTAACAGAGACACGCACGGCATGTTCAGGGAATGCTGATGCTCATTAGTCTGAGCTGCTGAACGTGCCAAGCGAAAGAGCGAAGGGCCCTGCCACACTGTGGCGCAGCAGATCAACCTTCAGCCCCGGGTCTCCTTACCGGAGACCTCCCCCACCCTGGGGTGGACGAGGAAGGTTGGCGATGCGTCTGCGTTCCGTGTCTGGGGATCTCGGGCTTTTGTCCGCGACTTGTCTGCGAACAAGCTGTCCTCTCGTGCTGTTCCCCGCGTCTTCCTTGGCTTCCCCCCTGACGCGCCTGGTTGGCAGTTTTACCACCCCACCTCGCGCCGTGTTCTGTCCTCCCAGGACGTCACGTTTGACGAGTCGGTTCCGTACTACCGTCTCTTCCCCTACCGCACTGCCCCCCTCCCCCCCCCCACCGCTCTTCCTCGTGCCAGGTCCCCCCCCGGTAGACCCCCTCCCCCCTCAGGGTCCTGCCCCCTCAGGTGTGTCTCAGGTAGACGCAGTCGAGCCTGTCGAGGTAGCTGTTGACTCTGGTGCTGCTCGGGGTGCTGCGCCTGCGGGTGCCGGGTCTGGGGGTGCTGAGCCTGAGCGTGCGGAGACTGGGGGTGCTGAGTCTGGGGGGTGCTGAGCCTGGGGTTGCTGGGTCTGGGGGTGCGGAGCCTGGGGGTGCAGAGCCTGGAGGTCCTTCGGGTGCTTCGCCTCGGCGGGAGCTACCCTCTCCACAGGAGCTGCGCGAGTGGTTTGCTCGGCGTTGGAGTCGTGCTGCTGGAGCTGGTGTTGCTGCTGGTGCTAGAGGTTCTACTGCTGCTGGGGGTGCTGGAGCCACGAGTCCCGGAGGTGCTCGTACTGGAGGTACTGGAGCTGCTGGGCCTGGTGGTTCTACCGGTGCTGGAGCTGGCGGTGCTACTGGAGTAGGCGCTGCTGGGGGTGCAGGAGCCGGAGCTGCTGCGTCTTCTGGTGGTCCTCCTGGCGCTGGAGCTGCTGGAGGTTCTGGAGCTGGAGGTGCTGCTGGAGCTAGAGCTGAAGGTTCTGGAGCTGGAGGTGCTGCTGGAGCAGGTGCTCCTTGGGGTACTGGAGTTGGCGTTGTTGGTGCTGCTGGAGGTGCTACTCGCGCTGGTGGTGCTACTGGAGTCGGAGCTGCCGCTGGGGGTGCTGGTGCTGTCCCCGCTGGTTCTGGAGGTGCTGCGCGGCCTCGGCCGTACTTCGTTCCGCTCCTTGAGCAGGTTCTTGGCCTTCCGCCTTCTTCTGGTCCTTCTCCTGCCTTAGAGTGTCCACAGCCCGTCCCGTCCGCGTCACAGTTACAGCTCGCCTATCCACTGCCTGCCCCTTCTCCCTACGCTGGTCCTACTTGAGGTCTTGCTGAGCGACGTGAGCCTGAGTCGCGTCCAGCGTCGCCTGTTCGTGCTGTTCGCACCGGTCGCCGTGTTCCGCGTCAGCGTCCTCTTGCGGTCCCAGGCACGCACCAGATGGAACTGCATCCTTCCACTGCTCCTCTGCGAGTCCCCTTGCCGTCTCCTCCAGAGTCATCTCTTCCTGCTCTTGCTGACCCGGAGTCTGACTCTCTTCGTGCTGCCAGTCCTACTGTCACGCGTCTCCTGGCTACTGCTGTGACTGACCCTTCCTTTGAGTCCACTGCTGCGTCTTTTTTAGTTGCTGAGCTGGTCGAATTCGCTGCTCACTGTCATCTAGACTACGCTGCTAGTCTTGTTGCTGAGTCTGAGTCTGTCTGTCCTCCATCCGTCGGGGGTGAGTGTGCTCTTGGCACGGACGTCCTTGAGGACAGGCAGGAGGAGTTCCAGTGCTTTGCTGCTGCTTTACCTCATCTCGTGTCCATGCTGCTTGCCCCTTAGGGAGACCCGGATGCACCAGACATCCCGACTCCGCGCTCTTACACGAAGGCGGTAGAGGGTCCCTACTCCTCTCAGTGGCAGGCAGCCATGGACGCAGAGATGGCTTCCTGGAAGTCCACAGGCACATAAGTCGACGAGGTTCCCCCACCTGGGGCGAACATCGTCAGTGGCATGTGGATTTACAGGGTGAAGCGGCCGCCGGGTTCTCCGCCTATCTTCAAGGCGCGTTACGTGGCTCGAGGCTTCAGTCAGCGGCAGGGAGTTGACTACTTCCAGACCTTCTCCCCTACCCCGAAGATGACCACTCTTCGGGTGCTGCTACACATAGCCGCTCAGCGTGACTACGAGCTTCACTCTCTTGACTTCAGCACTACTTTCCTACAGGGCAGCCTGCACGAGGAGATCTGGCTGCGCCGCCCTCCTGGCTTCACTGGGTTGTTTCCTCCTGGTACCCAGTGGAGCCTCCGGCGGCCAGTCTACGGTCTCCGCCAGGCTCCCCGCGAGTGGCACGACACACTGGGGACGACTCTTGCGGCTCTTGGGTTTGATCCTTCTACGGCTGACCCGTCGCTGTTTCTACGCACCGACACCTCGCTGCCGCCGTTCTACATCCTCGTGTATGTCGACGACTTGGTCTTTGCCACTGCTGACACTGCTGGACTCGCCCACGTGAAGTCGGAGCTGCAGAAGAGACACACGTGCACAGACCTGGGTGAGCTGCGCAGCTATCTTGGCTTGCAGATCACCCGGGATAGAGCACGGCGCACCATTACCTTGACTCAGTCACACATGGAGCAGCAGGTCCTTCAGCGCTTCAACTTCACGTACTCCTCGCCTCAGACCACTCCTCTGTCTACGCGCCACTCGCTCTCAGCTCTGCCTTCGGATGAGTTCGTAGAGCCGAGTGGCCCGTACCCAGAGCTTGTTGGCTGTCTCATGTACCTGATGACCTGCACTCGTCCTGACCTAGCATACCCTCTTAGCATCCTGGCACGCTATGTTGCTCCTGGGAGACACCGACCAGAGCACATGGCTGCAGCGAAGAGGGTGTTGCGGTACTTGTGCAGTACGTCGGGCATGGGGCTTGTGCTTGGAGGGCAGAGTCCAGTGGTCCTCACTGGTCACGCAGACGCTTCTTGGGCTGACGACTTGGCTACGCAGCGGTCGTCACAGGGTTACACCTTCAGCCTTGGTTCCGGCTCTGTTTCGTGGCGGTCTACCCGCTCGTCTTCTGTTCTTGGCTCCATCTGTGAGGCCGAGATCTACGCAGGGGCCATGGCTGCACAGGAGTTACGCTGGCTCACCTACCTGCTGACCGACCTGGGAGAGCCGCCTCGTTCTCCTCCAGTTCTGTACGTAGACAACAAGGCCATGCTGGCCTTGTGTCGGGAGCACAGACTGGAGCACAGAACGAAGCACATTGCTCTTCGCTACTTCCTTGCTCGTGAGCTGCAGCAGCGTGGTCAGCTGCGCCTTTCTTACGTGGCCTCTCAGGCCAACACTGCTGATATCTTCACCAAGGCACTTCAGCCTTGTGATCATCAGCGCTTTTGTACGATGTTAGGTCTTGTGCCTACTTGGCCTCACTTGCTCACTTCTTGACCTTGCTTGTACTGTGATCTATATATACCTGCACTTGCTTGTTTACCTTTATATATACTCCTGCATGTGAACTGGCCTTGTGGCCTTGACCCTGTGCTCGGACTGTGTGGTGACATTGTGATCCACCCTGAGCGTGTTTACTTTGCTTTGCTTGACTGGTCTTGTGACCCCTAGTTCTCCCCCACTTTGCCTATGGGGGTGTGTCAGATTGATATGACTTAGCCTATGTAGGCTATAGTGGGGTAGCACATATGGGGTACAACACATTTCTAGGGTTTGTACTTGTACCCAATCTTCCCACTAGTCAATCATTCCTCATTCTTTTAACACAACCTCCAGCGCCTCCTGCGCCGCCTGCTCCTCCTGCTCCTCCTGAGCCTCCTGCGCCTCCTGTTCCTCCTGTTCCTCCTTCTCACCCGTTGCCGATGTCTCCAGTTCACACGGGTGATCCTCCCGTGCTCACGCTTCTGCTCCCTTCGGCCTTCGACGAATACCTCTCGGAACCAGAGTCCAACAAGCCCACAAATGAGTATGTGGAGGTTGAATATGTGCCAGGACAGCGCTGGGGCCGTCCCGACGATTGTACGTGGGACGAATCTGCAGTCGGCGCCGACGACGAAATCCCTGACGCTGAGGAGGAGAATCTCGACGAGGGCGAAAAAGGCGCCGAGGTGGCACGGAGACTGAAACCGAGGCCGGCACCGCTGAGGATGTGTTTCCCGAGGGTGCGCTGGGCGGCGACGAGGACGACGGTGTGGAGTACTGGTCGCGCGACGGGCTCCCAGAGAAGTTGCCGATACCTACCTACCCTCCTACTAATCGCAAGCAACCCCACCCCGCTACACAGAACCGTGATGCCCGCCCCCCCTCTCCCAGGCATAAGCTCAACGAACACAAGCGTCAAGCCTATACCGCCGCCGAGAAATTGAAGTATGTTGCGCTTCTGCAGGTGGCAGTTTCGGTGCGTGCATTGGCTCGCGAGAGCGGTATACACCGCAAGTGCCTCTCCAACTGGAAGCGTACCGCGGAATTCCTGAAGGAAGCTCACTCCGCACGGAAGCGGATGCACGGTCGCGGAAGATCCAGCTGGTACCGACTGATGGAGATGAAGGTGTACGAGCGACTCCTCGAGTGGCGCCGCAAAGGAACCGCGGTGTCGGTGGGCCGCCTGCAGGAGTGGTCGAAGGAGTTTATGAAGGTTTCGGAGGCGCTGGAATCTAAGCGTCCGCATGAAGACGCGGGTTGCACAGAAAACCGCCGCTCGTGAGATTGTGTTTACCGCCGCATAGGGAAATTGTTGGTGCTGTAACATGAGATTTACCGTACTAATTGCACCCGTGTGTTTCACCCTGTCTCCCACGTCTTGCAGATGTCGCGGAGCAGTGCAAGAGCTTTTGGCAGTTCGTCCGAGACAAGCGACGCGAACGCGGCATCGGGACCACGTGGATCATCAACGCCGACCAGACTCCTCTCTGGCTGGAGATGCCCGCCAACACGACCGTCGAGCAAGCGGGCGTTCGCTCGGTGCCCATCAGGAGTGCCGGTTACCAGAAGGAGCGCGTGACCGTGATGCTGGCGTGCATGGCTGACGGCGCCAAGCTCAAGCCATGGGTTATTTTCAAGAGGAAGACGCTGCCGAAGGGCGACTTTCCCCCGGGTAAGTGATGTTTGTATGATGTGTGTTGCACACGTTTTTTGTTTACCGTTTCACTAATTTCTTGTTTCTCTTCCCGATGTTTTTTGTGCAGATGTGGTCGTGGCGTGCCACGACAACGGCTGGATGGACTCCGCGGGCGTCATCCGCTGGCTTGAAGAGTGTGTCAAGCCGTTCCTGAAGCCGTCTTTCGGTCGGCACTCCAAGAGCTCCATGCTGGTTCTGGATTCCTATCGCGGGCACCTCACCGAGGGGGTGAAGGAGAAGTTACGCGAGCTAAACTGCGTGCCGGCGATCATCCCGTCGGGCTGTACGTGGGAGATTCAGCCACTGGACGTCTCCGTCAACAAAAGCTTCAAGGCCTCCGTCCGTCAGTAGTACCAGAAGTGGTTTCAAGAGGACGGGCAAGAACAGCTGACTAAAGCAGTTACGGAACTAAACTGTTTTTTGTCTATGGAGGCCTCCGTCAGTCTCGTTTTTTAATCTACTCACCATCGTCCCTTTCCTGTTGTTACAGGGAATCTCAAGAAGCCGCCACCTGCAGTGGTCCTGAGGTGGATCTCGCGGGCCTGGAGGGCAGTTCCCGCCGACCTCATCAAGCGTGCATTCCTCACATGTGGCATTAGCAACGCGCTTGACGGCAGCGAGGACGGCCTCGCCATGGCGCACAGGCGGTCCCAGCTGACCGCGGAAGTGGATGTCGACGACGACATCATCGCCGATGGCTTCTTCGGCAACAACTGCCAGGAGCCCGAGTCTGACGAGGAGTAGCTAGGTAGAAAGGCCTTTGTAAACGCCTGTTCATGTAGTTCTTAGTAGGCCTTTGTAATAGTTGGTGCAAGATTTCTAGTGAAATGCTTTCAGAGACGTTAATTGTTAGTGTTTGTCTTAAAAAAAAAAAAAAAAAAAAAAAAGTATGCGCTTATATTAAGTACGGGTACAAAATGGGGTGCGCCTATAATCGAGGAACGGCCATAAGCGCCATGCTCCAGATAGAAGAGCCGGCGCCTTTAATCGGACGGCGCCTATATCCGGGGCCATACAGTAAGACTAAGGTACTAAAGCTTCCGCTAGTAGCTTAGTCCATTCTAACAACATACGGTAGCCTGTTGCAAAAATGGGTTTCAAATCCTATCCAAAGGCCTTGGCATGCCAAGCCTTTAACAACATGTGCACTACCTCTGAGCAGGCATGAATACCGGTACTTGTCTATCTCAGGCGAGAATATTCTCACTGTCAGAAGACACAGACGAGATATAAGCCGCTGCTCTGATGTTTCAGTTCAGACGAAAAAGCCTGTCTGACTGAACTTTCAGATGAGAAAAAATACGTACCTGTCTAAAAAATATGGAACATAGAAAATCAGACCATCAGACCAATTTCGTCTGATACTATAAGAGAGCCTTGGTCACATGGCAGCACGGAGAGCAGAGGCACCCAGCAGCCCTGCCATGTCACTGCGTTCAAGCCAATCCTCCAGAGCAAACCTGAGATCGTCCCTCACTCCTTGCAGCACGTACGGATCAGAGCAGGCGGAGTCGGCACCTGGGGAATAACGCAGGGCATGGGACAGGACGGCGATAGGGGAGCAGGAGCAAGCGAAGGGTGGGGCGGCATCAGCAGTGAGGGTGTAACAGTGTAAGTAGTTGATTCGCAAAGTGGCGGGGTGGAGGGTGGATTAGGGCTTGCATGCACGGACACAAGGCGGTGGAGGGTAGAGAGGAAGATAAGTAATGGTGGGGAGAGATGGAAGGATGGAGGGCGGGAGTAGGGGAAGAACAGGGAGTTATAAGAAGATTGGAGGGAGATGGCAGGGGAGGGGGGGGGGGGGGGAGGGGGGAGCGCGAGGAGGAGTCGCAAGGGCAGAGAGGGCACCGTGGAGGTCGCGGCCGTTGAGCCAGGAGGGGCAGCCGCGCATGTCCACTCCGTGCCCGCAGTTGTGACACTCCACCAACACACTCGGCACTGCCATGGGTTGAGGCAGGGGCATGGCGTGGGGCAGACGGCATAGAGCATGGAGCGTTGGCGATGGGGCATGGTGGTGCAGGGTCAGGAAGCAGAGAGCAAAGGCATGGGGCACCGACATGGGGCACAGGGCATGGGGCACAGGGCATGGGGCACAGGGCATGGGGCACAGGGCATGGGGCATGGGGCATGGGGCACAGGGCATGGGGCACGGACATGGGGCACAGGGCATGGGGCACAGGGCATGGGGCATGGGGCACAGGGCATGGGGCACGGACATGGGGCAGAGGGCATGGGGCATGGGGCATGGGGCATGGGGCATGGGGCATGGGGCATGGGGCACAGGACTTAGGGCACAGGGGCATGGGGCATGGAACTTGGGGAATGGAGCATGAGGCATGGGGCATGAGGCATGTTGCATGAGGCATGGGGCATGAGGCATGGGGCATGAGGCATGGGGCATGAGGCATGGGGCATGAGGCATGGGGCATGGGGCATGTTGCATGAGGCATGGGGCATGAGGCATGGGGCATGAGGCATGTTGCATGAGGCATGGGGCATGAGAAATGGGCCTTTGGTTGAGAAACAGCGTTGTGAGTGAAGAGAGCAGTATGGCGTGGATGCACCAGGAGAGCACCAACGTAACAAGCACTATACTGGCAGGGACAACAGCATGCCGGCACCCCCTCTCTGCTACAGCATGTCACTCACTGTCCATGGTGCGAACGAGTCTCGAGGCGCGCTTCCAGGGGTCCTGAGACCCGTTGGTGAAGAAGATGCGCGACGCTGGTGGGTGGGGGATAGAACGGGTGAGGAGGGGTGGGGAAGGGCATGCGCATGCAGAGGCAGGAGCACGAGTGGAGTGCAAAGAAGATGATGGATGGATGCAGAACACGCATGTGAATGCTTGTGAAGTGAGAGTGGTTGAGACTGACAGGTGATGGGGGTGAGAGTGGTTGAGACTGATAGGCGATGGGGGTGAGAGGGATTGTGACTGACAGGCGATGGAGGTGCCGCCAAAGAAGGTGTTGGTGGCGTCCACGTCAGGAAATAACACGTGCGGGTGCTCCCCGTACACTGCTGCACACAGGCCCTGCCAGTAGCTGTGGAGGGGAGGGGCGAGAGCATGGCAGCAACACGGAGGCACGAACGAAGGAGACGAGCTGTGTGGGCGGTGGCCCTAATGAGGGTGAGAGGATAAGTTGTAAAAAAGAGCGAGACGAGGTACGTGTGAGGTGACACAGAAAGTGAACAGGTGGGTGGCGGAAGGTATGGTTGATTGTTGACATGACAGGATGAGCAGTGGAAGCAGTGTCGGTCCCACCAATGCATCTCGCAGCCATTCACCACCGCACCTCATGTTCTTCCACCACACCTCATGTTCAAAGCCTCTGAGCGAATGCGAGGGCCGATGCGAGCGGGAGTTTGAAAGAAGGCCATCTGCGTGCAGCACTGGTACAGCCACGTGCGCATGTCTGCAGCGCCATGGGGCCACGTCGGCATACGAGCATTTGAACAGCATATGAGCGGATGCGCATGTGAGGGGGCGGTTGTGCAGATGAAGGAGAATAGGGAGGAAAGGAGAATGGTTGTGGCAAATGCACACGATACGGATGAGTGAGATCACAACACCGTTATGCAGCCATGAAAGCAAAGACCAGCATCTTGTTGCGATATAGAGCACTGACCGCGTGCAGCACTGACCGCATACAGCACTGACCGCGTGCAGGACAGTGAATGAATCATGTCCGTGTCATGAATCCTGCTGTTTGCTATCCTGCATGGCTCATATGCCCTCCACAACTGTGCTGCTAGCAGTGCAGTTCGTGGGGCTAAGCATGCAGCGTATTCATCCCCCTCTCCCCCACACCCTGACATTCTAGCAGGCAGCAGCACAGGGCAGCAGGAAGGAGGCCAGCGGGAGTGGGCAGCAAGACAAGCAGCAAGTGTGAGAGGCAGCAGCATGAGGAGCGGACTGACTGGCAGAGGTGGCTGAGAGCGACGTGTTGGCGAGGGCGTGGCGGTCGTAGTCAGACGGGGCAGACCCGAAGTGAGCGAAGAAAAGGTCTCGCACGTAGGCCGCAAAGGCCTCCTGATGGCATGGGCGCAATGGGTGGAGGGGGAGGGAGGAAAGGGGTGTGTGCAGGGAGGTAAGGGGTGTGTGCAGGGAGGAAGAAACACTCTGGTGGGAGACAAGCAGTCGTCACACTCGTATCCGCTCGTGTGAAAGTTCTTCATTTGTGCATGGGTGCAAGTCAGAATGAACAAAGTTAGATCAACGCGCCAAGCTTCCATCCCAACAGTGTGCACAGCGAAAGACCATGGCATCACATCCCAGCATACCATGGCATCACATCCCAGCATACCATGGCATCACATCCCAGCATACCATGGCATCACATCCCAGCATACCATGGCATCACATCCCAGCATACCATGGCATCACATCCCAGCATACCATGGCATCACATCCCAGCATACCATGGCATCACATCCCAGCATACCATGGCATCACATCCCAGCACACCATGGCATCACATCCCAGCATACCATGGCATCACATCCCAGCATACCATGGCATCACATCCAGCATACCATGGCATCACATCCCAGCATACCATGGCATCACATCCCAGCATACCATGGCATCACATCCCAGCATACCATGGCATCACATCCCAGCATACCATGGCATCACATCCCAGCATACCATGGCATCACATCCCAGCATACCATGGCATCACATCCCAGCATACCATGGCATCACATCCCAGCATACCATGGCATCACATCCCAGCACACCATGGCATCACATCCCAGCATACCATGGCATCACATCCCAGCATACCATGGCATCACATCCAGCATACCATGGCATCACATCCCAGCATACCATGGCATCACATCCCAGCATACCATGGCATCACATCCCAGCATACCATGGCATCACATCCCAGCATACCATGGCATCACATCCCAGCATACCATGGCATCACATCCCAGCATACCATGGTATCAGAGCCCGTGGCATGTGCGTGGATGAGGGGGTCACACAGCTGGTCCGGGCGGCCGTACTGAAACTGAAGAGAGAGGCGCCGGTGTGAGGGTGGAATGATGACAAGGAACGATTGGATGGAAATTCACAAGGGGCGAATACAGGGAACGAAGGGAAAAAGAAGGAAATTCAGTGATAGAATTGGTGGAGTACAGTGAGTGCAGGAGCGAGGTGGAGAAAGACAAGGCACGTGGATACAGAGATGAGAAGGCCAGAAGCAGATTACACAACTCATTACAAGTATATAAGTGCATCTTGCATGCAGCAGCATGCAGCTAGGCCTACTGGCATGGCTGCACATGTGGTGTACCGCAAAGACAGCAGCGTCTGCGAGGAGGAAGAGGAAGTCCCCATCGTGCTCCACCTGGCAGGGCGCACATGGGAGAGGGTGGGCATACAGAGAGTCAACATGAGGAGAGGCGTGAAGGGTGCAGTGATACCCTGAGAGACAGGCTTGCATGCAAGGAGGACGAGAGGCAAGGGAGCAGACTGCAGAGAGTGTGCAGTACACCTAACCTGCGCTAATTTCAAAAACTTCGCACCGAGCCGCGATTTTGCCACTTGAGCAAGGGATATTTGTGTAGTGAGTCAGCACCTAGCTGTCTGTGCTGACGGGGCGGATTTGCCCTCCGCGTGTGTCGAGCGAGAACAGCAAAAGCTGTATGGTTTTGAAGTGTTTCTCTGTGTTTGAGAGTGGTCGGCAAGAATTTTGAGAATGGGATGATGCACTAGCATGTCATCCCATAGCTTCGTGATGACCATTCACCATGCCACGTGTGCTGTAACCCCACCAGGCGACGACAAACCCTTTGAAATTGGGGGGATTGAAATTGGCGCGGGCTAGGTGTACAATATATGCTAGCCATCTCTCCTGACCCAACGGAAACTCGCATCAAAAGGCGCACTGAGAAAAGGTGTCGAGAGTGGGATTTGAACCCACGCCCTTTCGGACTGGAACCTTAATCCAGCGCCTTAGACCAGACTTTATTTACAAAGTTCCTAGGTACATGGGTTTATATATTTACACTATGTACAAGAAGTCCTAGAGAAGTGCAAAGAAGAAGTTTACGAAGCAAGAGAGTGTGAACATGTGAAGGACAAGTGAAAGATGACACAGTAGAATAGAATTGACAAAGTGCATGGGTGATGTGAAGGTGTAAAGAACAGGAAAGGACAGAACAAATGGGAACACAAAACAAAGAGGACAGACACGTTTGAAGCACCGACAGAACATAGCCAACATGACACATGTGAAAGAAACAACAGAAAATGACCACCATGACACTTGTAACAGAAAAACAGAAACTGACCAACGTGACACAAGTGACAAAAACAAAACCTTAACAACATGACACCACTAAGACAAAAACAGAACCTGACCAACATGACACACGAGACACAAAAACAGAAACTGACCCAACATGACACAAGTGAAAACACTCACAAAACCAGAAAATCTACCCTACAGCAATGTATCTATCAAGGTTAAACCCCCTTAGATACGGGGGTTGTACAAGTACACAAGATCAGGGGCGCCATCACTAAAAGCCGGAAGGTCTGAGAATGAAGGGTCTTCGGCTGACACCTCTTCTGTGATTGCAGGGAACGCCGCCTCCACCCTATGACGAATTGACCTGGCCTGCGCACGTTGCAGGGCTATGGAGACACGAAGGGTGTAAGAACTCTCAAAAGCAGTTGTTAGTACACTGTCTGCTGCGCCGTAATCGACATGCCGTGCTGCTGCCCGATGACTGCAGTCGCGTAGGAAAGTCTTGAAGTTGCTGCCCAGGCCTCCGAACGTCTCAAGCACGAGGGGGATAAGTTTGACTGCAGGCCGGGCGCGCAGTGCTGAAGCGTAGTGGGACCGTTTTTCTGTTTCTCGCTGTTTTGCAGCTAGCCCAACTGTGTGTGCAACTGTTGGTGGAGCGGATGGCAGCTGCGGGTCGGCTACGGAAACATCTAACGCCCATTTGATTCCCGCGCAAGGATCAATGCAAGTAACGTCAGGAATGGCATCCGGCAGCATCGTGTGATCCTCTACTCGCACCGTGTACCCCAGCTCCCTAACTATCCTTGCTACTTCGTGTTTTACTGCATCGTGCACGTGAGTGGGCTCGTGGAGGTCAGGGCAGCGAAGAGCATGAGAAGGGAGTGTAGGATCAGTGTAAGTGTGGCCGCATGAGCATGGTGGGGCTGTTTCAAGGAGACGGAGGTGAGGGATAGGGAGGCCTAGGCGCAACTCTGTCGCTATAAGCCAGTCAGCAGGTTCCAGCTGAGAACGGGGAGCAGATGGGACAGCCGTGAGCCAAGCGCCAGCAGACGGGTCCTGAAGGGAGGTTAAACGGACCATCTGGTGGTGCTGGGTAGCGGCTGCCCGCAGTTGCTCTGCTGCGTGTGCGGAGATGCGCTGGGCTAAGGCTGAGAATAGTCGGTTTGGGTACCCTGCTAGGAAGGGGGACCAGGGGGGAACAAGGTGGTGCAGGTCGTCAGAAAGGGCAGCAAGAGAGCGAGCGGCCTGTGGGTCTAGGCGGTCGACTGTGTCGGTGGCTATGAAGGGGCGAAGGAAGCAGTCGTTCTCGATACAGCAGTTGTTGGCTAACACTGGGATCGCCTGAGCCCAGCTGCAGACGTAACTGAGTGAAGCATGCTTTCGTGCGCTCTGAATGCCGAGCCCTCCTAATCTGATTGGAAGGAAAGCCTGTGACCTCGCTAACTGTCCCTCGGCAGTGTCAAGATCCCAAACGTCTGGTGGAAAGAGAGAAATCAGCGTGTCCAGAAGATGATCGTCCCAGTCATTGTACTGTTCTAGAACGTCCTCGGTTGGCGGTACCGTGCGGAGGAGGTAAGAGGGTTTGGCTGAAAGGCAGACGGTCAGTAGGTGGGCTGCAACTTGCGGGTTCTCTAGGCGAGGGAGCCAAGGGGCTGCAGTTCTGAGGGAGGCCAGCCGTTTGCGCAGTTCAGCAGTGATGAAATCTGACTCGCCTACAGGAACCCGTGCAACGATGATGCCCTTGTCCTGGAGAGCGATACCAGGAGGCAGCTGAATCGGGTCCGGCCATCCCTGCGGTGCCCACACCTGACATTTCGCGGGCTGCACACGGAGGCCGAGCTCTGCAAACTGCTGCTGGAGGGCGGTGAAGACTGCTACGAGGCGGTGCGGGGGTCCTAGTAGGTACGAGTCATCGGCGTATGACATGCACAGGATATCGGGGAAGGCGGTGCGGATGACGCGGATAGCTAGATGCTGCGTGATTGCATAGAGGAAAGGACCGCAGGGATCCCCTTGGCGGACCCCTCGCTGTGACTGAAGTGTGTGAAGCAGTGGGCCTGAGTGGAAGAGGAGAGGTGAGGGACTGGAGTAGAAAAGTCGGAAGAATGGGATGAGGCATGAAAAATCTGAAGATTGAAGGGCAGTGAACATGGACGCGCGGTGAAATGAGTTGAAAGCATTTGCAACATCGACGTTTAGGACAGCCCAGTCAGGATGGAGCTCAAGGGCCGATCGAATGCCAAAGACCAGGGAACTAATGCCCGCGGAGACTCCGACCCCTAGCTGCAGATCAGGAAGAAATTGGGACTGCATTTGCTCCTTGAACATCAAAGCGACGCAGCGAGAAAGAAGGCGAACGAGCACTTCACCACTTGCGATTGGGCGGACATCTGCGTTTGACTTTTTGAGAGCAATGAGTGTCGATGCAGTTAGGAAAGGAGCGAAGCGTGAAGAAGCCTTGCCAGCCAACCAATTATTCAGCACAGGGAGGAGGAAGGGGAGGAATGAGGGATGAGCGAGGAAAGTGTCCCGTAAGTGTTCTGCCAACCATCCAGAGTGTCCTGCTGCTGCCCCCCGCGTCATGGTGCGAATTGCATCCTTAAGTAGTTCTATGGGCAGCTGCGGGAGCTCCATGGGGGTGAAAGAGTCAACCCATGGGGGGATAGGTTGAGTGGAGGGGGGATGTTTAGCCTGCAACCTGTCAACAGTTTCAGCTGTTGGGGGTGCAAGCTCTCCTGCCTGTAAGGCTCCGTAAGCACGTGACCACTCTCCAACAGAGGCGAAACGAAGGCATCTCTGCACACGTGCTTCATCCGAGGTCGAGCGAGCAGATGAAATGGAGGCAGGGTGAGTTGCAGGGCTGTAAGCTGTCAAAGTTTCCTGGAAGAGCTCATGCCAGTCGCCGTTTGCAAATCTATGTGCCCGTTCAATGCAAGTCTTAGCCTGAGAAGCGAGGCTGTCCATTTCTGGCTTGCGGAGGGCTAAGCGAGGGAAGGCAAGGAGGAGGAAAGAAGCTCCGTCGTCAAGAGGGCTGTCCTTGAGGCGCTGCAGCACTGGGAGAAGCGCTTCGAGGACAGGGACACGCGCTCGGTCCGGGATCCTCCTGATCAACGGTGGAGATGCAAATTCTGGTGCAAAAAATCGATCCCACGGCCAAGAAGTCGCGGCCAGCCATGCGTCCTCCGTGGCAGTGTGGTGAGTGTGAGGTGCTGTAGATGGTACTGGGGTGAGCTGAGCCTCCAGGTGAGCCTTGTGCTGTGAAGCCGCTGCTTTGCACGCTTTCTCATGGCGTGCTCGACCTTGTGACGTGGCACACTGTTTAGGGCAGTGGCGACAGGGAAATTCGGTTGTAGCTGTGGGTGGTGACGCCTCTGTGGATGGTGGTGCAGTAAGAGCTGAGAGTCCTGGGTCATGAGGTGCTGGGATAGCTGCTGTAGGAGTAGGAAGGAGAGGGTTCTGGTTAGTGGGACGGATAGCAGATGCAGGTGTTACTGGATTCAGAGATGATGGAGGTGGGACTGAAGTGTTACCTGCTGCTGAACGTGCAGGTACTATCTTCACTGGTTCCGGCTGGGTGGCTGATGTTTTCCGAGCTGCTGACTTCGTAGGAAATGCTTTCGGCGGCCTGTTACCGTCCAGTATCATGGGCGACGGTTGAGAAGATGGAGCTGCGGTAGGCGCTGCAAGGATGTACTCATCGAGCGGTGAAGATTGACGGTGGGAATTTTCGAAATTCGAATTCGCGAGCTTTGGAATGTCATTTAATCCTTCGAGACGAGAGGTGCCCAAACGCTGACCTGGCTGCTTACTAATCGCATCCCTATGGCGCTTATCGTTCGACGCCATGGGGATAAGGATGTATGTCGCAAAGAAGGTAGCAGATTCGACTATACTAGTAATTCTGGATGCAAGGGTCGATTCTGGAACTGAAGTGATTCTGGAACTGAAAGTCGAAGTTAGGAAGTCAGCGCGAACTTCACGGGAAACTACGAAACTGGTATCTAATGAAAGCGGAGAAGTAGAGGAATCGTAAGCTGGTGCCTGTTGTAAAGTTTCACGGCTGGATTCTGATGTTAGCGTGAAAAACGGCGTGGGAAACGGAAATTAGGTAGTCGTCGCGAAAATCCTTGGGAAACTACGAAATAGGTATCTAACGAAAGCAGACCAGTAGAGGATTCGAAATCTGGAGTCTGATCTTAATTTCGACGGCTGGATTCTGAAACTGGCGTGAAAAACGGTGTGAAATTCGGGGTAGAGAATTGCGTGGCGGAGAGCGAATTTTGGCGCCTTAGACCAACTCGGTCGACGTTGAATTATATTCGCGAAGGTGGACGAAGACGAGGAGAGGAGGGATTAAAGGCTAGTAGAATGGAAGGTGAAACTTGAAGGCAAGCTGAGAGAGCACATAGAGAGTGGCACGAGAGTGCAAGTGAGGGCAGAGAGAGGACGCACAGAGGCGGCAGCAAAGAGGTGCTTGACAGCCTGGCGGTGCTCCAGTGACGAGGCGAGGTGCTGCTCCACACGGCGGGTGATGTTGGCCAGGATGGCGGTGCACTGGGGACCCGCTGACTGCACCACCTGGTGGCCGGGGAGAGGGCGCGAAGGGTGAAAGCAAACTACGTCAGAAGGAAAGAAAGGAATTTGCATTTCTGTTGATTGCTATAAGATATTTTCAGGTTCCATCCATGCAACGGGAGCACATCCAGCACACAAGAAACGCTCAGCCAGCCTGTCATGACAGCGTGGGGAATGGCTGGGATGGCACACAAGGGATCGACATGCACATGCTTGCAACAACATCCCCTTACTCCAACTTCCAGGCCGCATAGAAGACGCCAACTTAGAAGTTTAGACTGAGAACCTCCTGTTCGCCTTGGCACTCTCATTGAATACCATCATCCCTCCTGCACTCTGTAGTTCGTCCTACATCTGCATTAACGCTGCAACTCTCCAGGGCATGACGATAACCGCAGCCCCTCAGCATTGAAACAGCTCGCCTCACCCAGAACGGCAGTGATACCCACCCTCATCCGCCCCTCACCCGCCCCTCATCCGCCCCTCACCCGCCCCTCACCCGCCCCTCACCTGCGCCTCAAACTCATGGAAGTCACGAATGACGTTGATGACGGCGGACGAGGCAAGGCTGGCGCGGAAGAGGTGCGGGTAGGACAGGCGCGCCCACGCACTCAGAGCACCCGCGTACGACACGCCCGTCACCACCCACTGCCGCTCGCCCCCTCCGCTGCTGCTGCCGCCACGCGTGGAGCTGCTGTGAGACCCGTTGAACAGCCGGTCCAGCCGTTGCTGCGATCACACAGGATATATAGGTTTGTGGGATTTCCCAATTCTTAAAATCGCTCACAAGAGCAGCAAGGAAGACAGAACGAACAACCAGTTTGCGAGGGAGAGACACGAGCAACAAAAAGCAAGTGGAAAGAGGTAATCACAGGTGCCCCCATCGCAGGGGGCTCTCCCTTCACCTAGGCTCGCAACCTCAGCGCACCTGGTAGAACTGCTGGAACGTGGCCAGGTCAGCCAGTGCCTGGTTGGCCGAGAGATATGCCAGGCTGGCAGTGGACAGGTCAGCGAAGGGCTGCGATTGGCCGTAGAAGCGATGCTCCAACGCCACCACGGCCGCCCCGAAATGGGCGGCCAACTCCTGCGAGGCGAGAGGCGGGTGAGATGCCACGTGGATGACGCATGGAGGGGGGTGAGTCCGTGAGGCTGGGATGACAGGGCGAGAGAGAGAAACAGAAGGCTGAAAGGAAGTGAGGGAATCAAAGACGCAGGAGAAGGAGGGATGTGTGCGCTGTGGCAGGGAGAGGGAGGGTGGGCGAGGGAGAGCGGGGCACCATGCGGTAGTCGGAGGGCACGCCGTTGCAGGGCGCCTCGCCGCAGATGACGAGCATCACGGGCCCGCCCGCAGCGGCGTTGAAGTGCGTCAAGTCCTCGTGGTAGCGCTGGGAGAAGGTGCGCCCGTCCTGCCACGTGGCATGCACATCCATGCACCCAACCATGAATTTCCACGTGTATTGTGAGATGGCATGGTAGGCTATAAGAGATGGCATGGCATATGAGAGATAGTATGGCATATAGGACTAACTCCTTAGCTCTAGCCACCCTCCTTCAGCTTCTGCTCGCCAAAACGTACGGCAGGATTGAAGTGGTCCAGCGTCTGCTCGAACCACAGCTTGCCACGTCCGCTCGCTCCCGCCGCGCCTCGCTGATTTGTGGCTTCCGCATCGCTCGCAGCGAGCCCGTGCGGCGGCGTGGCTGTTGCGGCGAGGCGCGCCTCGTACGCGAGATACAGACGGTCGGAGGCGGCGGCTGCGACGGCGAGGAGACTAAGGGCGAGAAGAGCCGCTAGGGAGAGCAGGAGAGGATGACGCGACGCGCGCCTAACGCGAGAGGTGAACATTGGAGGAGGATTGGGAGGAGCCATGGCGGGCAGATCTGGAGAGTAGAGGCAAGAACGGATGAAATGTGGCATGTGGGGCACGGAATATGGAATTTGTCACACATGCATGCGCGGTTGAATGTCGTTCGGTATTTGATTGTGTTGACCCTCAACGTCCTTCCATGTTCACCGCCTGATTAAAAAAACAAATGCTCTAAATCCACTCTATAAATATCCTCTGCTGCTCCACCAGTTCCAAAGGGTCTCATCGATTCAAAGGCCCACAACCCCTCCTACGACACTTTAACGTGAGTCCCTTGTGAAATTTTTTGCATTTCCTTAGGTTGGGAGGGGGGGGGGGGGAGGGAATTGAGTGTTTCACAAGGCGCTATTTCAAAAACCTTAGCACTTCGCAAACACAAATGGGATTACACACTCAGCAAATGAAGCAAGATTGGTCACCCTGGCCTGGGTGGAGTATCCAGATTGGTTCACCCTGGTGAGCCAATCTAGTCCAGCCCCTAAACTGCACCAAATCATGTACAGCTTGGTCCCACCAAGTGCCGTGCCCCTGCACTTGTTCTCAAGTGGGCCAGCAGGGGGTCATCACACCACACCACTGGTGCCTCACCAGGACCATGCCATGTATAAGTGAATGGGCGGGATCTGCTATTTTGGCATACTGCCATAGCCTGTGAACTGCAGCACCTTCAATTCAGCGTCATCGCATGGCCCAGGACCCCAGCACGTCTCTCAGCCCGCCCCCATCCCCCTGCACCGTGCTCCACCGGTTCTCCAGCGTGGCGCAGTGCATGCGCTCGCGGTACAGAAACGGCTTCACCACGGGGTTCTGCTGCGCCACTTGCCTTGCCAGCCCCGCCACCCGGATGGCATACGCCAGCGCCATGCCCACGTCCTCCTTGGCGCACCGCCCTCTGCCGCCGCCCGCCAGGCTGGCGAGGCAGCGGCGGAGGCGGCGGCGCGTGGGGGAGTGGAGGTTGAGGAGGTTGATGGCGTCGGCGTCGTTGACGGAGTTGACGAGCAGCAGCGGCGTCGTGGCGTAGCGCAGCCCGTGCTCCGGGAAGAAGCACCGCCACCGCGCCTCAGGGCCCTCCCCTGGACACGGGCAGGTGGAGAGTGGGAGGGGCAGGCAGGCGGGCTTGAGGGAGAGGTTGGGGGGCAGCAGGGCGTGCAAGGGGCAGCAGGGCGTGCAAGGGGCAGCAGGGCGTGCAAGGGGCAGCAGGGCGTGCAAGGGGCAGCAGGGCGTGCAAGGGGCAGCAGGGCGTGCAAGGGGCGGCAGGGCGTGCAAGGGGCAGCAGGGCGTGCAAGGGGCAGCAGGGCGTGCAAGGGGCAGCAGGGCGTGCAAGGGGCGGCAGGGCGTGCAAGGGGCGGCAGGGCGTGCAAGGGGCGGCAGGGCGTGCAAGGGGCAGCAGGGCGTGCAAGGGGCAGCAGGGCGTGCAAGGGGCAGCAGGGCGTGCAAGGGGCAGCAGGGCGTGCAAGGGGCAGCAGGGCGTGCAAGGGGCGGCAGGGCGTGCAAGGGGCGGCAGGGCGTGCAAGGGGCGGCAGGGCGTGCAAGGGGCGGCAGGGCGTGCAAGGGGCGGCAGGGCGTGCAAGGGGCGGCAGGGGCGACCTTTAAGGCAGTCGGGGTCGGCGGAGATGTTGTGGATGGCCACGAGGCGCTGCGCCACCTTGCGCATGAAGAACGTGCCGCTCACATCCCGCATGTCTGGGGGGAGGGAGGGGGGGAGGAGTGTTGCCTGCCAGCCAGCCCGTGGGGGGAAATGTGTGGTGGGTGAGTGCACGCATATCTCGTCACTTCTGTCCCCCCCCCGCATTACTCCCCTACTTCTTACAAGCTATGGCGCAGTCTGGACGCACAACCCCCTACCACTTCCTGCAACCCCTCCCACTTCTCCCCCTCTTTCCATCCCCTTAAACCCTGCATGCACGGCGAGCAGGGCGAGCAGGTTGGCGCACCGGGGAGGAAGCCGCCGTCCATGATGCAGCGCTTGGCGGCGGCCGTGGGCAGCAGGCGGGCGAGCGCGTCGCACTGCATGGCCACCGCCTGTGCGCCCGCTGAGCACCCCGCCACCACCACCCGCTGCGCGCCCTGCATCCCCCTCGCCACCCGCATGTCTGCTCCCAGGGAAGGGGGGAGATGGGAAGGAGGAGGAAGTAAGGGTGTTGGAGAGGAGTGAGGGGAAGTTGGGAAGGCAGGGTGAGCAGGTGGTGATGCAGGGAGGTGTGGTGGTGAGTGGGGATGGGGCAGCGCGGATGGAGAGGCAGCACGGTCCCAGACATGCACGTCCAGGCTGACGGCCAGTGGCCTCCCTGCACTGCTGCCAGCCTGCCCGCTGGACGACAACTCATGGGATGTGAGGGCATTCACGATCACGATAGTGAGTGCCACACAGGACTGGTGGATTGCTGGGCGATGGGTGGAAAGGCTCAGGGTGGTGCATATGGAGATTCAGTGCTGGTCATGCGGCATGAGCGGCGGACGAGCGCAGTCCACCAAGGCCGTGTGCCGATGCCGGGCGTGGCAGTACGGGGCGAGGGGCGCACTCACGGCGGATGACGGACTTGAGAATGCTTCTGCCGCCCGCCACGAGCGACGCGGAGCGCGAGGCGTTGAAGCGGCCGCGCGTGCCGGAGAAGGCGGCGCCGTCGCAGTAGGCGATGAGCACGACGTGCCAGTTGAAGAAGCGCGGGTTGACGGCGGCGCTGCCGTGCAGCATGCCGTCCATGCCGTACCCCGTCAGCCGCTTCAACTGCCAAGGGGGGGCATGCATGGGATGGGGGGACAAGCGGATGGCCATCACACGCGTGTGACGGCAGCAGCGCGTGTGGCAACAGCACCGATGTGGCGGCTGCAGCGGCGAGCGGCGAGCGGCGCACCTGGGTGTTGAAGTCGGGGGCGGAGGGGTGCGGCCAGAGGGAGGAGCTCCCCAGCAGCGTGTTCGCGCGCCTGCGACACGAGCGCACCGAGTAGCACCACGCGCCGCCCTGCGAACAGGGAAGTGGGGGGAAGGGGAAGGCGAAAGGGTTGGGGTGGGGGGTAGTGGTGAGCGAGTGCAGAGATGAGAGACGGGGAGAGCGGAGGAGAGGGATGGATGGCAGGCGGGGCATGGTGGGATTGGTGAGGGCTCGTTGTCGCAGTCCCTCGTGCCACTGCACTCGCTCCTGCCGTTTGCCCACAGCAATCCCCGCCCCAGCGTGCCATGCGCGCATGCCCCGCGCCCCCACCTATCCCCAGCCAAACCCCTTTCCCCGTCCCCGCAATCCTTACGCGCGGCGCTCACCGGCAGGAAGATGAGCCAGTTGCGCTGCCCCGTGCCGTGGCCCCGCCGGTAGTAGTACCCCGGCGGGCTGGCGCACCGCATGCGGACGACGGGTGGGAGGGAAGCAACGCGGGAAGGGAGGGAGGGCAAGGAGGAGGGTTAACGCTACTCGACGTATGGGCAGCACCAAGGGAGCGCGGCGCGTTGTGGGTGCTCGCAGGTCGCAAAAAGACTAACGCGCTCCTTCGCCCTTCGCTATCGCTTCCTGCTTCTCTCCCTTCCCCTCTCCCACGTCCCACCCCACACCCGTTCGCCCACCCCGCTCTCGTACCACGCAGGACGCACCAGGCGGACATGCGTTCCGCGCGCCTCAACCGTCCAAACGCTCGTCCTGCTCCACTGCCGAGCCTACCAACCGAGGCTAACAGCCGAGCCTACGACCTGCCTTACCTGCCGTCGAGGCATCGCGCGCCCGCCGACACTTTCTTCAGCAGCGAGAACGATACTCCCGCGCGCCTCGCGGCAGGCTGCACTGTTGAAGGCGCGACCGGGGAAGGCGGGATCTGAACGTTGTCAACCTGCGCGAGTGCCGTTGTGACTGGCGAGGGGGAAGGGCAGAGCGCGCAGGCGCAGACGCACAGCAGCTGCAGCTGCAGGAACCCGAACGCCAGAGGCGTGCGACCTGGCCGCCTCTCGCGGAAGGCACGCGCTGTGGGGCCCGCGAATCTGTTGCGACGCGGCATTGCGACGAAGCGCGTGGGTTCTCTACGACCTTCCGCACGTGCGTGAAGATGACGAGATAGGATTACTGGGAATGAACGGTTTGTAACACTACATGTGAATGGTTTTGGCGGGCACAGCTTTGAGCCATCCAGCTGGCAAGGTTGAAAAAGGCAACGGAGGTTGGAAGAGGAGGATGAAGCTCTTGGGGACTCGGGGTCGGGGACAGGGGAGACGAGGCAGCTGGGTAGGGGACGCCTAGCGGAAAAGCACCTCCCAAACCCAAAGCATCTCGGGAAAAGCATGCGCTTCGTTTGCCGGCGTGGGATTGCAAGAGAGGATGAAGGCTTTGAGAAAGTTTACCGCGTCGCGTGTGATTGTGTCGAAATTCAACACGTTTGCTACTTTCACATCTTGTCCGCCAGTATGGGTACTGGTCGGTGTAGTTTGACCATTTGTTAGGACATTTCTTAGATTCCTTACTGCGCACCTCAACTACGCGTACAACACCCGACCGTTCCTTCACCCTTTACAGCCTAAAGATGTTCGCCACTTCTGTTAGAATCTGCAGGTAGGAATGAATGATTGAACTAGGCAAGAGATACGTACAAGTAGAGGAAACCTAACCCTAAAGTGTTGTACTCGCTAATGAGTAACCCTACTGCAGCCTAGAGATACAATTGTAATTTGACACACCCCCATAGGCAAAGTAGGGGATAGCAAACACAACAAGCGGTCACAAGACCAGTCTGCAGAAGAGAACACAGCTCAGGGTGGATCACAAGGTCACCACGCATTCTGAGGACAAGCAAGTGGCCACAAGGCCAGTTCACATGCAGAGGTATATAATAGCAAGGCAGGACACTGATCACAACATAGCAAGAGAAAACATGCAGGTATAAAGATATATAGCAGTGTACAACAAGAGCAAGTCAAGCAACCAGCAGGTGAGGCAGAGTGGGCACAAGCCCAAGAGCAGTGCAGAAACGGTGATGATCACCAGACCCAAGGGTCTTGGTGAAGACATCAGCAGTGTTGGCCCGAGAGGCCACGAAAGCAAGGCGCAGCTGACCACGCTGATGTAGACCACGCGCAAGGAAGTAGCGAAAGGCAATGTGCTTCGTTCGGTGCTCCAGTCTCTGCTCGCGACACAAGGCAAGCATTGCCTTGTTGTCGACGTACAGAACTGGAGGAGAACGAGGCCGCTCCCCCAAGTCGGTCAACAGGTAGGTCAGCCAGCGGAGCTCCTGTGCAGCCATGGCCCCAGCGTAGATCTCGGCCTCACAGCTGGAACCAAGCACAGAAGAAGAACGACTGGACCTCCACGAGACAAAACCAGAGCCAAGACTGAAGGTGTAACCCTGTGACGAACGCTGAGTCGCCTGGTCGTCGGCCCAAGAAGCGTCAAAGTGTCCTGTGAGGACCACCAAACCCCGTCCTCCAAGCACGAGCCCCATGCCCGATGTGCTGCACAAGTAACGCAGTACCCTCTTCGCAGCATCAAAGTGCACCTTTCGGTGTCTACCGGGTGCCACGTAGCGAGCCAGGAGGCTGAGAGGGTACGCGAGGTCAGGTCGTGTGCACGTCATCAGGTACATGAGGCAACCCACAAGCTCTGGGTACAAACCATTCGGCTCTACGAACTCGTCCGAAGGTGGAGCTGAGAGCGAGTGGCCGGTAGACAGAGGAGTGTGCTGTGGCGAGGAGTACTGGAAGCCGAAGCGCCGAAGGACATCGTGCACCATGTGTGACTGAGTGTGGGTGATGGTGCGCCGTGCTCTGTCCCGGGTGATCTGCAAGCCAAGATAGCTCCGCAGCTCACCCAGGTCAGTGCAGGTGTGTCTCTCCTGCAGCTCCGCCTTCACTAGGGCCAGTGCCTCAGTGTCAGCAGTAGCCAAAACCAAGTCGTCGACGTACACGAGGATGTAGAATGGCGGCAGAGTAGTGTCGGTGCGTAGAAACAGCGACGGGTCAGCAATCGAACGAGCAAACCCAAGAGCCGCAAGTGTCGTCCTCAGTGTGTCGTGCCACTCGCGGGGCGCCTGACGCAGGCCGTACACTGGTCGCCGTAGGCTTCACTGGGTACCCTCAGGAAACGACCCAGTGAAGCCCTGTGGACGGCGCAACCAGATGGCCTCGTAAAGGCTACCCTGCAAGAAAGCTGTCGAGAAGTCGATGTGAAAGATAGAACGAGGAAAAAATGACTAGAAACATGACAGTACAAGGTTTGTATAGGCAAAACCTAGCAATACTGTACCCCATATGGAGTGCCCCACTACAGCCTACAATATAGTTTTGACAAACCCTCATAGGCAAAGTGGGGGACAAGCAAGAGAATAAGGCAAGGGCAAGCTCAGGGTGGATCACGACGTCACCACGCATTCTGAGCACAAGTACAAGGCCACAAGGCCAGTTCACATGCTGAGTTATATATCAAGGTGACCAACCAAGACAGTGATCTCAACCTAGCAAGGGTAAGTATGCAGGTGCAGGTATATATAGAACACAGTACAAGCAAAGTCAAGAAGTGAGCAAGTGAGGCCAAGTAGGCACAAGACCTAGCATAGTACAAAAGCGCTGATGATCACAAGGCTGAAGTGCCTTGGTAAAGATATCAGCAGTGTTGGCCCGAGTGGCCACGTAAGCAAGACGAAGCTGACCACGCTGCTGCAACTCTCGAGCAAGGAAGTAGCGCAGAGCAATGTGCTTCGTTCTGTGCTCCAGTCTGTGCTCCTGACACAAGGCCAGCATGGCCTTGTTGTCGACGTACAGAACTGGAGGAGAACGAGGCGGCTCTCCCAAGTCGGTCAGCAGGTAGGTGAGCCAGCGTAACTCCTGTGCAGCCATGGCCCCAGCGTAGATCTCAGCCTCACAACTGGAGCTGAGAACAGAAGACGAGCGGGTAGACCGCCACGAAACAGAGCCGGAACCAAGGCTGAAGGTGTAACCCTGTGACGACCGCTGCGTAGCCAAGTCGTCAACCCAAGAAGCGTCTGCGTGACCAGTGAGGACAACTCGAGCCCGTCCTCCAAGCACGAGACCCATGCCCGACGTACTGCACAGGTAGCGCAACACCCTCTTAGCTGCATCCATGTGCTCTGGTCGGTGTCTCCCAGGAGCAACATAGCGTGCCAAGATGCTAAGAGGGTATGCCAGGTCAGGTCGAGTGCAGCCCATCAGGTACATGAGACAGCCAACAAGCTCTGGGTACGGGCCACTCGGCTCTACGGACTCATCCGAAGGCAGAGCTGAGAGCGAGTGGCGAGTAGACAGAGGAGTGGCCTGAGGCGAGGAGTACGTGAAGTTGAAGCGCTGAAGGACCTGCTGCACCATGTGTGACTGAGTCAAGGTAATGGTGCACTGTGCTCTATCCCGGGTGATCTGCAAGCCAAGATAGCTGCGCAGCTCACCCAGGTCTGTGCACGTGTGTCTCTTCTGCAGCTCCGACTTCACGTGCGCCAGTCCAGCAGTGTCAGCAGTAGCAAAGACCAAGTCGTCGACGTACACGAGGACGTAGAACGGCGGCAGAGAGGTGTCGGTGCGTAGAAACAGTGACGGGTCAGCAGTGGAAGGAGCAAAGCCAAGAGCCGCAAGGGTCGTCCTCAGTGTGTCGTGCCACTCACGGGGCGCCTGGCGGAGACCATAGACTGGCCGCCGGAGGCTCCACTGGGTACCAGGAGGAAACGACCCAGTGAAGCCAGGTGGGCGGCGCAACCAGATCTCCTCGTGCAGGCTGCCCTGTAGGAAGGCTGTGCTGAAGTCAAGAGAGTGCAGCTCGTAGTCACGCTGAGCAGCGACGTGCAGCAGTACCCGACGAGTGGTCATCTTCGGGGTGGGAGAGAAGGTCTGAAAGTAGTCAACTCCCTGCCGCTGACTGAAGCCTCTAGCCACGTAACGCGCCTTGAAGACAGGCGGAGAACCCGGCGGCCGCTTCACCCTGAAAATCACATGCCATCGACAATGTTCGCCCCAGGTGGGGGAACCTCGTCGACGTAGGTGCCTGTGGACTTCCAGGAAGCCATCTCTGCGTCCATGGCTGTCTGTCACTGAGAGGAGTAGGGACCCTCTATCGCCTATGCGTAAGAGCGCGGGGTCGGGATGTCTGTTGCATCCGGCTCTCCCTCAGGGGCAAGCAGCATGGACACGAGATGAGGTAAAGCAGCAGCAAAACACTGGAACTCCTCCTGCCTGTCCTCAAGGACGTCCGTGCTAAGAGCACACTCACCCCCGACGGACGGAGGACAGACAGACTCTGACTCAGCAACAAGACTAGCGGCGTAGTCTAGACGACAGTGAGCAGCAAAGTCGACAAGCTCAGCAACTAAGGCAGACGCAGCAGTGCACTCAAAGGAAGGGTCAGTGACAACAGTGGCCAGGAGAAGCGCGACAGTAGGACTAGCAGCACGAAGGGAGTCAGACACCGGGTCAGCAAGGGCAGGAAGAGAGGACGCAGGAGGAGATGGCAGAGGGACACGCTGTGGAGCAGTGGAAGGACGCAAAGCCATTTGGTGCGTGCCAGGGACAGGAGGAGGACGCTCACGTGGAGCACGACGACCAGTGCGAACAACGCGAACAGGCGACGCAGGACGAGACTCAGGCTTACGACGCTCCGTAAGACCTCCTGTCGGACCAGTGTAAGGAGAAGGAGCAGGCAGTGGGGAGGCCGGCTGTAGCTGTGACTCGGACTGGACAAACTGTGGACACTCTACGGAAGGAGCAGGACCAGTAGAAGGCGGGAGACCAAGAACCTGCTCAAGGAGCGGAACGAAGTACGGTCGCGGCCGCGCAGCGCCTCCAGAACCAGCAGGGACAGCGCCAGCACCCCCAGCGTCAGCTCCAACTCCTGCAGCACCAACAGCTCCAGCAAAACCTCCACCAGCTCCAGTAGCGCCAGCTCCAGCACCCCCAGGAGCACCGGCTCCAGCAGCACCTCCAGCTCCAGCACCTCCAGCTCCAGCACCTCCAGCAGCTCCAGCTCCAGCAGGACCACCAGAAGCCCCAGCAGCCCCAGCAGCGCCAGGGC